AAGCAGCGTAGGGATGCGAGAGGGCAGTGTGATAGTCCAAGTCAAGCATCTTTCCGCAGTCTTCAGTATATGGATGAATGTCAGCATGCACAAAGGAAGGCCCCATGTTGAACCCCCTGGAAGCAGTCTAGAGGGTAACTCAGGCGACAAGAACCGATAAGGAGTCGGGCAGTCCTGTGTATATTCGATATTCGTACTTCGACACCCACTCCGAGACGAGTTATGTACGATACGTGTTTCGTAATTACGACGTACAGATGCCACCTTGAATTCTCCTCAATTCTCTGAACGGAATTACTAATTGGGCATATTTCTCAGGCATTCGATATCGTCTTGGAGAAGTCGGTGAGCTGACCTTGCGTCTGTTCGTTTCGCCGAGACGCGGCTCTGAGATTCGCCCGGGGTGGGTCGCAGTGATGCGACGTGACTGTATGTACAACGTACGAAGTAATTTATAGTGCACGTCCTCTGTCTCTTCTTCCTGCATGCCGCGGGAGTCATGGGTGTATATACGGAGCATGTACGTTGTACGTTGTACGTTGTATATTGATTGGCGCATATTCGTCCCCAGAAGCGAGGCCCTTGAAACCGCCTAGAGTATCTACCGACTACCGCGCCAACTGCATGCCGTCCTGTGTACAATGTACGGGAGTAGAACACCTAATTTCGACCGACCCCATATGTACAGCGTAGCCGAAATCCGATGTGAAGACTTTGCTTACCTATTCCCGACAAATGACGGTACGTTGTATGTACATCTTCTTCTTCTTTTGCTGGTGGTCGAACTCGACATGATTCCTAGCCGTACACTCTACCCCTTACTTTCGACCTTCGTATGTACAAAGCTCGTCGATTTCGATCAGGATCCGTTCCTTGTTGTACGCATACGGGATTCAAGGTCTCCATTCCGTCTTCAAACAAAACATCTGGGTAGTGATCGTCCGTCTCGGTCCCCAGTTCGCACTCCCGTCTGGACGGACCACCCTTGCCGAGGTTGCGCCCAGTCTCACTTATCATGGTTGTCCTTGCGCCGGTGGAGCTTCATCCCTGACTATCGCGTCAACCCTCGAGCACGAGCTCGAGGGCATCCGTACAAAGGCGGAATAGCGTTATGCAGTTGTGTACAGACGGAGGGGGGTGGCCATATGCGTATCCTGGTTTGAATTCGGAGAGTTCCGATACCAGGTACCTTAGACAAGTTCTCCACTTGTGGGCCAGAACAGAACAAGACGGGAACTTTTGGCACTTCCCTCGTACCTACGTACAACGTATGTACAACGCATATGTACTGCCCTAAGGCAGGTACCTACCTTACCTACCTATGTGTACCTTACCTAGGTAGGTACCTACGACAAAAGTACGGAGTACTTATGTAGTGGACGCAGTAAATATTGGCCGGGAATTCACTATAACTCCCGGCGCCCCCAAACAAACCGATTCAAGAACTCGTCTTTTGCTGACCATTCGAGGAAATTAGGTATCATAACTGGCGACTCTGAAAATATTGAATGCCATGGTTCCTTCAGATGACGATAGCCAACTTCATATCTTGGAAAGACAAGGAAGAGCCGATATGACTGATGCGTGTGGTGGGTGGGGGAGCGGGGTGCTAGAGTGGCGTCCGGAAAGAAGCTAAGCGACCCGTTGGGCGACGGATGGACTGTGTACTTTGTAGTGTACATAACTACCTTACCTTGCGGTACAAGGCTTGGGCCAAGGAGATGGTTGGCCGATATTCTTTGCTGATCACCGGTTGAGAGTTGGAACGAAGCTAGCCGGTTTCGGTCACAAAGGAAGTTCTCACTCCTCTCTCTCTCTCTAGGTAGACGGGGCGGGACGGCCCCGGGAAAAGTGCTGGACGAGGTATCCAGCATTGAGTTGAGACAGCCCTGGTGCCTTTTTACAGACTTATAATCGAGCATCGAGAAAACGACGGCAGATGGCTGTGGGGAGATACAAGGGAGCCATGCCCCAACCATTCGTGACTCTCGATCAAGTCAACGTGAACGAGAAGGCTGAACCAAGCGACTGGGTGGATAAGTCGCTGGGGTCTGGCGGCCAAGCTGGACATGGTTTTACAAGGGACAATAGCAAGGCTGCCTTGAATGCCCCTTGTTTGCGTGCCGTGTGGATGGTGCGGCACCAGTGATCCACTGCCATGGTAATTAAAGAGGGTGGACATCAAGAGAGCCGTCATCAGCCATGAACACCATGGCAGTATACGGTATGTACTAACACCCTTGATGTTAATGGGTCGTTGGTCTCTGTTTGCGCGTTGTTATTCAACGGAGTCAATGACGTGGTTACAACCCCAACTCGGTTGACAGATGGTGTGAAGCTTGAGTCCACCTCAGTTATGCACAGATATGTACCGCGCTTTATCCATACCTTATACCATCGGTTCGCCTTAGCTTATGCCGATAGACGTGACATGGCTGACCTACCTTATGTATTTACCTTATTCTTTGCGCGAAGTATGTAGGTACCTTAGCTAAGGTATCCAAGGTACAACGTAAAACGTCCATGGAGATTTTCGACGCGTCTGATACCGGCGATATGCCCTTCGCTCCGGGATCAGGAGCTTCTCCGCACGCTGATCTCACGGAACCCTGGTAGAACGGACCGTCCAGACGGACCAATTGATCTGTCGAAATTCCGGATGAAAAACCCAGGGTGTCACGCGTAAACCCAAAACAAGCACGAGAAAACGAGTACGTTTTAAACAAAGCACAGAGGCACAGGGAAACCGCGTACCCCTGCCGATAAAAAAAAGGACAAAAAGAAGTGGGGATTTGTATGGAAACTTGGACCCATTTACTCAGTCAATACCTATTATTATGAAGCTACCGCCATTGTGGCTTCGTCTCAACCCGCTTTCTCCTACCCTGCGCGGTGCGGGGAAGTCAGGCCTAGTGCCGAAGCACTTGAACCGACAACCCCCTTCTCTAATGATCCTGTCTCCCGAGTTCGACTTCGTACTCATTGTTGCCGTGCCCCTGCGAGAATGATTGAGTTGCGAACCGCCCTATAACAGGATGGAGTAGAACTGTACATACTACTCCGTATGATCGATGGACAATCAGGAAGATGCACAGAGACTTGTGCACATGATATTCACATGTTTTCCCCCACCCTCGTTTCATATGTACTCCGTCGTGTTGTACAACGTAAGTACGGAGTATTATATATTTTCTATTATACAACGTACCTAGAAGAAATAGGCTAAGCCGAAAGACGATATCGATGTGACGATATAAAGAGAGAATCAGGTCGTGGTTTACCTAAAAATAGAGCAAGTGGGCGGGAGCATCGATATCGGACGATATAAATGCTACCCCGTAATTTACGTAAGGTAGGTATATATACAAGCCGAGAAAGGGCAATAATATGGTACCTAAGGTACTTCGCGGACAAAAAATTCATCGCCGGCTGTTGGGGCCCTCTCCAGGGTAAGGTACCTAGTAAATTCATGATTACGGCAAAGTTCGACAGCGAGAGAAGCGCACGAAGGTACCGGCAGTACTTCGTATACCGTTTACCTAGGTAGGTAGGTAGGCGCGGGCCCTCCAAGGTACAAGGCACGACGTCAGGACCATGCCTGTCTGAATCGTCTTTTTCCGGTCGCGGATAGGTTTCGCTCTATAACCAAAATACCACCAGATATTACATACATATGAATATTCGTCAGCAAAGTCCGAAGGTAAGCCTTGTATCGTTAGGCCTTTCCCTCGCGGCGGAGATAATGTGCTGCTGTGTATCGTTATAATAAAAGCACGGGCCTGAAATTATAGATACCTGCCTAAGAGGACATGCAATCTCACCTGCAGCAAAATGCCTTTTTTTTTTTTTTTTTTTTTTTTTTTTTTGATTGCCAGGTGCATCCGGCGCCTTTCTGTGGTAAAATAAATAAGGGGATAAGATATAGAGCGCGGATCCTTCTCTATTTGGCAGTCTGATACGCAGCACGTACTCATATAGGTACCATCATTACAACGTACACACATTACCAATCTGGCATGGAACCGAGAAGAGATGAGTGAAAAATATATTCCTCGCGGCTTCCTCCGTCGCTTCTTAGCAAATAAAGCGGCGTGCGTATCTGAAGAAGGACAAGACGCTCCGTAGCAGAGCTTAATTCGCGACCTAAATACCACTCACAAACTCTTACTCGTATACACTAACTCTTGCCTCGCACTCCTGTATTAAGACCCTCTTATACAGCCCCTATCTTACGCTTATATTAACTATACTACGTCGCCGAGTGTTACGATATCTGTTCTGTTACTTCTAGTATTCAGAGCGGTCGCGTTGTATTTATAGAATAACCGTTCTACCCAGTATTTAGTTCACGACAGATATAGGTGTCCGAAAACGAGAATAAATAGTATATCTGAAGAACGGATAACGCTTCCTTTTTTTTATCTTATAACCCTAGGATATTACTGCAGGGATTTCCGGGCAATAAAACAAGCGGCCTTCGTGTCCGAGGTAGGGTACGTTGTAGGTATACAAGGACATAGATACATATACAACGTAGTACCTAAGGTGGGTCCCTACCTACCTTAGGTAAGGTAGGCGAGAGGAGCCTAACCCTGGTCCCCCAGGCACCGTCTTCTCCATCTCTCCACACCATCTCCACTGACCCAACGGTCGTCTTATCCTTGTCACTCGCTCACATCCCGCATCGCATCGCATCGCATCGCATCGCTTATACCGCTGAGCATACGACGTACAACGTACAGCATACCTTGTAGCTTACAACTCTACGATAGTCTATGGTTTGTAAAGCAGGCCCCTGCTTTATTATACAATGACGAAGAGGTTAGTAAGGTGGAATTAGGGATTTAGCACTTAATGTAATGTAACTTAGGGTCTAGGGGTTATCAAACCCCTCGGAGATATATACAACGTACCTTAAGGCACCTACCTTGGCTAAAATAATGCGGAGTTACGAATATACGCAATTCGGGCTAGTGACGAAGTACGTCAGAACTGAGCTGGGACAGAGAAATTCGCCTTCCCAAAAAAGCCGTTTGAGAGAATAATAACAAGGTACACGGAAGTACTTGGTTTTCCGTCCTGGACCTTCGACGATATTGCACAAAGTGGGCACCTGCTAAGGTCCTGTTGTAAACCGCTTAAACGAGTACCTATGTATTACCTAAAGTTATAAAGGACGCAGGCTCAGGCATTGCTGACACTCTTTGGACCTTTTTGCACCCTCTGTGTAAACATTTGAACTTTTCATGGTCACACAAAGAGGGCGCTGTGAACTGAAATACCTGGGGCTCACTGATCCCCCCTCCCTGAACACTGACCGGGGGAGCACGTGTCATCCTGCCAGGACGTGTCCATCGCAGCTTCCCCGCCTAAGCCATCATAAACAACCATACATAAGGCATCTAGCTTGAATTCGTACCCTTTTAAAGGTTTCTAACCTCGCGCATAAGATGGAGTTGATTCTCCTGACTCGGCCAACCATTGCCTTATTTTACTGGCAATCAATTGTGTTACAGTAGGGAATACCGAGCTGTTTCCCTAGTTGGCCAGTTATCTCGGTTTGCGTGTGTGTTACTGTTGACTGTCATTTTCATGCCCTATCCCGTCCCAGTGGGCTTAGGGATCGCCTTTTTCTTTGCGTAAAGTACCTTAACATATGCACCTAGCTATAAGGAAGGCAGCGAAAGGCCGAAGAAGATGACCCGGGCATCAGCATAACCTTACCTACTGGTATTCTCGAGTCTCAGCGGAGAAAGGCTTTCCGCCTCCAACACGCACCCCAATTCCCAGCACAAAGTGACACTCCCCCGGCCCGGCGTTCTGGTCCTATTGATTGACTTGGTGTCCCGCGAGATCGTTGTACATGCTTCGTACATATGGTCATGATGCGGAGCCCCTGCGTGTCTTTCTTTAGCCCGAGGTATCGCTCAACGTATTGGGTCCAATCAGGTCAAACCTCCCTCTCGTCACTCTGGTCTTTGCGGCTGCGTTTTTCTCGTTAGCTCGCGTCTTCATTCGACACGTGCAACGCATGCATCTCTTAATCGAGTCGTGCGTCTCGAAACCACTTTACGACATTTTCTGGACGCACGCACTGCCTGGTCCTACAGTAGTTGTTCATGGAATTACCAAATCAACCTTCTCAACAGCCGACGCGTTCCTCAGTCCGTGAACCCCGGATGGTTCCCCTAGTCCTCACCCTAGTCTATATGGAGGTAGGTACATACGTACGGTTGAGCAAGGTACGAAGAGCCAAGGGTGTTCCCGCTCGACGGATCGAGCTCCGGGCTACTACGAATACTTCGTACAGCTGGGCCGCCTGAGCGTCTTATCCTTGACAGCCAACAGTGTCAATTTTCTCCTCAGTGCAACGGACACTGACCGGGCTTTTATGAAGCGCGTCTCTGGTTAGGAAATTTCTGCGCAGCTCACTCTCTCCGCCCGTCGCTTCTCTCGAATTGTTATCCCCATCTTTATCCAGTTGCGGTTAGTACCTTAGGTATCTTTCGGTCGTGGATACCTTTCTGCACATACCTACCCGGGTTTGGCTGGTTATAGGTCAGAGCTCGATGGACTGGTCAGATGTCCGAAGTCTTAGAACATTATGTTGACAGCGATATCTCTGTCCTGGCTCTGGTCAGTGCAAAATTCTCTGTTCGAGCTCTGACCTATACCCACCCCTACCCGGGTAGGTACATAGGAGTAGAGTATGTACAGTACCTTACTCAGTAAGGTAAGGTACCTTTGGTCAGGATACAGATACGTACAACGTACAAGTATCGATGAATATTCAAGAAACCCCCACTCGACAATTGAAGGCTTTACCAGGCTCCAATTATTAACGGGTGTTGAGCCGATGTGCGGGCATCATCCTTTGGTAATTCCTTCCCCTTTTCGATATATTCGTACCCCCTTCTCATCAATAACTCCGTCCATCCTTGATAAATGCGCGAGGCCCCTGTTTGACTGCTTGGCCCTTAGTACAAACGTGTTGAATCTTCCCGCTCCTTCTCATCTTCCTTTCGTCTGATCATTCCCCTTGGGCTTCCCTTTAGCACCCTGTAAATACAACTCGGGTACCACATCTAGTTGCAGACCGAGCGTCTTTTCTGGGGGAGATTTTTTCTTCTTTTTCTTTTTTCTTTTTCCCTTTGAGTATCCATTCTTCCCCAACCTTGTCAGTTTTAGACTCCCAAGCCCGTGCAAAGCATCATTCCTGCCTGCTTCGGTCCGAGAAACGCCATTCGCCTCAAGCTCTGCCTCACCATAGGATACCCTTGCATACACACACCCACCCCTACACCCTTAGCTTTTCTGCCGCATCCGCCAAACAGACATACATACATAGGGCTGGTGTATCTGGTAGTACATGCCCTCCCTGCTTCTGTTTGGTCGTGTAGCGACCTACCTCTTAGTTCCTTCCATTGACTAATTAGATTATAGCGCATTCTCCAGCTCGTCGCGACACGGCTACACAGCGCAAGCAAGCCTGGTGCTCTTCGATTATCTAACTTGAGACCTGTCAAGCCCAAAGCATTACAACTGCTTTCCGTGACGAACGTACATACCGGAGCAAGAGTGACGAGAACTGCGAACTCGGACGAAGGTCGCATTACGACAGCATCGCATCCTGTTTGATTTTTCCCTCGCCAGGGGCTAGCGCAGAGGCGATAGTCGCCCTATTCACGCGTGTGTTGGCCATCCGAATCTCAGTAGAGACCGAGGACGCCTCTGAGAGAAAGGGCAGTCGCGCTCGAGGAGCTGTCTCAGTTGGGACATCGGACACTACCAAAGGGTAAATAAAGTGCGTTCGGATCTTCAACAAGGTAAGTGCAGCGTTTCTTCGCAACACATCAGGGGATCGATCTTTGCTTTTTTTTGCTTCATCATTACGTCTCGCCTTCACCATATATGCACTTCCCTTGTCGAGCGTCTTCCTGATCAGCTCTACTGCTACGTCAAAGGAATCTCGAACCGTGCTGGGCATGGTTGGGAGTCTCTGGCGAATATCGAAGCAAGGGATTATATTACAGACAATCGAGGCTAATCAGCTACTTCCATCAACAGGTTAAGAGTCGACAGGGATCCAACACAACATATGACAGTGGCAGCAACCATGGCCCAAAATCGCCCGACATTAGGCCAGTTCGTCAAGCCGGACCCCGGCGTCGGTGACACAGTACGTTTGTATTCGTTTCTTTGATGTCCGCATATCTCAGTCGAACTTCTCTTCCTACTTTGATATTTGATTTATTTCGTCTGTTTTTGTTTTGTTTGATTTTGGACGATTCTCCCTAGGGTAACCGGCTTTGTTACATGCTTTTACGCTCCCCTTGACTCTGTTCACCCTTTTCTACCTTTTCTTCTCACCGAGTCGAGTGTCCGTCGAACTCTTTCGACGGACACTCGCGACGCGGGGCCTGAGGATTCAGACGCGCCAAAGAACTTCGATTCGCGAGTTCCAGAAGGCCTATGGACAGGCTCGTTGCAAGCTTGTCGTCGCACAGGTTTAGGGCCTCGTGAGATTGCCAGGGTGGTCCTGTCTCTCAAAAGAGCGACCGGGGGCCAGCATAATCCCTTGTGCCGCCTTGTGGTGTGGGTCCGTTCCATCATGTACCCGTACCATGGACACGCCAAATGGCGCCCCCCACACCTTGCCCTTTCCTCTCCCCTTGCCCCTCTTGCCCCCCTTGCCCCTGAGCTGTCGAGCTGCGAGCCGACCATTCCCCAAGTTATCAAGTTTGGGGATGACAAGGTCGATCGCATGGGTGCACATGTCAGCCACGACGGATATCGACAAGGTGGTTGCTACTGCCGCTGCGACAAGCGTCTTTAATCCCGTACCGTACCTGCGTGTCGCGGTCGCCATGTGTCAAGCGAGCATGGTACGGCGTCAAAACATAAGATGGTGGGATGCGCCAACGGGTGGCACAAACGGGTCAGCGACTTGAAGAAGGCCTGGCCTCAAGTGCGTTGCGGTCCAGTCCAGTTGAATTCAGGTAGTGGACCTGACCGTGCCTCAAACATGGTTGACTTTTCGAGGTCGCCATGCAAAGCACAGCACAGCATAGCACAGCACAGTAATGCAATGCATAAGGCTCTAGCAGAGCTGGCTGCTTGCCAAAAGCTGTCGCACTTTGAAGCAAAAAGGGCAATATCCATCAGTTCCAGCACATGCGGCATATCCGGTTCCTCGGTGGTGGAGTTGTTGCTGACAGAGCTTCTCCAATCAAACGTGGTTTTGCACTATGGGGACTGGGAAGACCCCTGTCGGGAAACATGGCTTGTGGCTTGCACAAGACACACAACGCGCTCCAAAGCACCACCACTCTCTCTTCCTTGTTTGACCCTGTGCTTGACAAGCTCTCCCAATTCCCCCGTCTTGTCACCTTTTTCCGTTCTGGGTTTTCTTGTTGTTCTTCTCGAGAAAACGCCAGGGAAAACGGACCTTCCCAGAGCAGAATACCTGAGCGCGTCTCTCCCAGGCACCGGGCATTGGTACAATGTACCGACCGAGCGGATGAGGCGGGCGGGCAAGCTCGAAGCCGATCGAGGTCAAATTCCCAAAAACCAAAAGCTGGGGGCGCGCAAGGACAAGCTTAATTCCAGGACACCACCTTTTCTTGTCACTTCCGTCTTCCTTCGCCTTCGCTTCGGATCTCTTTTGTGTCTGCCCTCCGCTCGAGAGTCCAAGCGGACCTGTCGATGTACAACGTACATACAACGTAAGGTACTCAACACTACCTTGTGTACAGCGTACTTCGGTTGGGAACTTCCTATCCTCCTATCCTTTCACAATCCCGCCCAAATGCCTGGTCTTGACCTCGCATCGCATGGGGGACAGGTCATGCATGCATGCATGGGTGGACACATCTCGAGACGTTAGCCGGCCAGTATCGCATCCTTCAGACCCAACGGAGACAGGACTAGGTCTCTGGTCTCCAACACCCATAGGCGGTGTGGGCAGTGGAGAACCAATGGAGCGACGAAGGATGGCTTCCACGCTTGGTAAAAGGGGGACGCTAAGCGGAATTGGAGGGGCATGCTTGGGGACAGTGGCTTGACTCTGACCCAACTATACACTACCTTACCCAACCACAGGGAACCGGATGAGAAAGTACAAGGTACTTGTCTCGACAACGGGGCCAGCGCCACGCCCGTCTGATCCTTGGATCTTTTGCCTAAGGTAGCCTCGGAGTACAGTACCTCATTGGGAACTGGCTCCTTGACCGGCTCTGCAAATGGATTCCGCCATTGGCTGTTGAATACGGGAATGCAGTATACCCCTGTCACGTTTCTCTCATGTCCCGACCGTTGTCAAAGCCCTGCCCTCCTACACCCCCCCACTCCCACACCCCTCTCTCCTCCTTGGGTTTTTTTTTATTCTCTCCCCCCATTTGCCGGTCTACCCCTTTTGCCCTTTTCCACCCAGCCGCATGCCTGCTCCCGCTCATAATACAGGCCTCCCCGGTCAGCTCTTCTCCCGCCGACCCCCTGCTCTTCAAATCCTGTCTTGCCCTCTACGCTACAACGTACGTTCTCCAGCCTGGTCGACACAACAGGGGGTCGTCTCAAACGAAAAATCGGCGACCGCGCACGACGTTTCGCTCCCCACACAACACACGTCGTTTGCATCGACACCTTTGCATTATTTTATTTCCCGTATACCACACCACGTACCTGCTGATTTATGCGCCAGCCTCTGCTGGAACTTGTCCCGTCTTCTCGTTATACCGGCTCGTCAGACGCGTCGCTTTTGACTGGTTCGTTCCACCATTTTGATTGCCGCACATTGCGCGGGTGAGGAGAACAATCAGGACGCGTGAGAGATTGGCATCAAGCACCAGCACCCTTGGACCTAACACCTGAACACCCCCCCCCCTCTCCCCCAATCACAAACCATTCCCAAACCCACCATTTACCAATCCCCCGTCGTCTTGGTTCAAATACCTGAGTCTATATGTACCCCCTACAACCCTTGCCCCCCTGTTCGTTCTACTGCCCTGCCCCTTCCACTATCTCATAACCATATTCCTCACTTCGAGTACCGCCTCTTCTTCCTACCGGCACATTGTCCGCTATCATTCAATGCCCTTTGCCTTTTTATGTCTGCCCTCTCCGCTAGGAGACAATTAGGAACAAGAAGTCAGCGGAAGTCCGCCCCCAGAGGCCTCGAACCAGACGCGCAAAACTTGCTGTTACCTTCGCTTGTTCTGGTGGGACCGCCCCATTTCTCCGAAGCCTTGCCTTGCACTTCACGCGGGAGCTCTCAGTTGTGCTGTACTAGCAACAATAGGTACATTTGGGCCTTGGACGCCTCACCCGAACCATCCTCGTCAACGTCCAGGGGTTTACGGACCGGGGAGATTCCCCCCTCCCCATCTTAGCCCCCCCCGTTCATTTCCCTCCGCCCTAGTCCCTGGTAGTGTCAAGGACCAAAAATAAGAATCTCGACGCGCCCTGCTATTTGTTTTCTTTCCCCTCACGCGAGTCCATGCCGCCGTTCATAACGAAAAGAAAAGCCAGGAACTAATGGGTTTATCCTCTATGCAGCAACACCCCCCCCACCATCAACAGGGTCCTGCACCTCATCAGCACTTGCAACGGCAATCGCACCCTCAGCATCAGCACCCGCGATCCTCGAGCATCGGCCATCCGCAACATCACTCACAGCAACCTTCGCAGTCTCAGAACCCCCCTGCCTACACGCAAGGACATAGCATCACGTCGCCCTACAGCCAACCAGCCGCGCAAGCCAACGCAGCTCAATCTGCCCAAGACGGCCTACCCTACTATACCCACCCGAGTCCATACAGCACGCCAGGCGCAACAAGCGGGTACACATCCGCAGGTGAGTTATCCTCTGCCACGTCTCTCAAGAGGGTCGCGTTTTCTCCCTTTACTCGACGCGCCTCCGGGCGGCATCGAAGTTGGCTAACCCAAGTTTTCACCAGATACGTCCGACATGATGGCGGCCGCTCAGATGCCGCGACCACCATACCCCCCGATGTCCTACCACACTCCCCAGTCCAACTCGCCGGCATCGGTCGCGTCTCCATCACAACATGACCAACATCGGAGCATCTACGCTCAGCCGCCGTCACAGCACCTCCCGCAGAATATGTACTACCAAACTCACCAGGCGCATTATCAGACGATGCAACCCCAGCCACAGCAATCGCCTTATGCGCAACACGCACATGCACACGCGCAAGCACAAGCGCACGCACACGGGCATGCGCACGCCGCACATCCGCATCAGTCCATGTCGTCACAGCAGAGTATGATGATGTCGCAAGGCCAGCAACAACCACAGATGCACCAGCAATCGAGCCAGCATCATCCCCAACAGCAGCAACAGCAACATCAACAACAACAACAAGCCCAGCCTCAGATGACCAACAGCCCGCGTCACGTGAAGCAAGAGCCGCAGTCCCAGGTACCCCTGCAACTCCAGAAACCGCAACCCCCGCCCATGGGCCACAGCCCCCATCCTCCCAACGGCTCGGCCATGTCGACGCCAACGGGTTCGACGTCTGGAGGCGTCAATCCCAACGCGGCACCCGGGCCCATCCCTGCCACCACGCCGCTGGTCGTGCGGCAGGATCAAAACGGGGTACAGTGGATAGCCTTCGAATACTCGCGGGACCGCGTCAAGATGGAATACACCATTCGCTGCGACGTCGAGTCGGTCAACACGGACGAGCTATCGCAGGAGTTCAAGACGGAGAACTGCGTCTATCCGCGAGCCTGCGTGCCGAAGGACCTGTACCGCGGTAACCGGCAAGTCTATGAAACGGAGTGCAACACGGTTGGGTGGGCACTGGCGCAGCTCAACCCCTCGCTGCGGGGCAAGCGCGGTCTCATCCAACGCGCCGTCGACAGCTGGAGGAATAGCAACCAAGACCCCCGGCTGCGCAGCCGGAGAGTGCGCCGACAGGCCAAGATGAACACGCGAAAAGCCAGCCAGCAGGCCCCTCACCAGCCGCAGCACATGGGCGGTCCTAGCCCTCCAGGGATGCCGCCGACTCCTGGGGCCATGGGACCGGGTCAGGGCCCGTCCGGTTCGGCCAAGATGCCCGGGATGGCCAGCATGGGCCACATGGGGCATGGTGGTGCTCAGGGCGGAGCGGACGAAGTCGGTATGTTCCATCAGATGTGATTTGAAGAGCCCCCGCGCATCTGCTGCCAATTGCCACCCTGTTGTTGATCGTCGTTGTTGATCGCTGCACCACACCGCACCGCACTACACACCGATACCCAACAACTCGAAGCCGTGTTGAATCATGTGATACCACTTTTATATACACCTTTTCTTCTTTCTTTTTCATTTCCCTCATCATCACTTGCACAGGCCTGCCATGTTCTGCCTGTAACTTGAGGAATTTGTGCCTTTTTCTTTTCTTTTTATATACTGTCATCGATTTGTGCCCTCTGGTCAGAAGCGGGAGGAAAAAGTGGTCTTCGTGCTGAGCTGTTTTTCTTCCCTTTCTCTCTTTTCCTTTTTTTCTTCTTCTTTTCTTCTTCGTCTTCTCTCTGGCGATGTGTTGCGACTGGTACCGGGCTTTGCGTGGCGATAACTGCTCCTGGTAGCACTATCACTATACCGTCAGCCCGCTGGCCACTGCGATGTTATCGCGCAGCAAAGGACTCAGCGGCTTGTCAGGAGGGATTTCCATTTCTCATCGGCACAGGCTTGTACATTATCATAGTCAGTCACATGCCAATTGCTGGCTCTCACCATCGATGCTGCTGCTACTGCTCTTAGACACTCGCACGATATTTCGGAAGCAGATATCATTCATGTCCAAGCCTAGGTGGGATGGACGACAGATGAGGGTTCCAACGAGTCCTGTGGCATTTAAAGCTGCATGACCTTGGAACACATCAGTCTACCTCCTTTTCTTTTGGCATTCCAATCACATCACCATCGATCGCGTTGTTTCTCTTTTCGTTTCTTGGGAACATTTTGGAAGAGATGAAGACAGACCCCTGCCCCGATCCTGCCGATTATCCTTTCAGAGGCCACACCTCCACACCCCATTTTTCTCTCTTCTTCTTCTTCTTCTTCTCACACCCCTGACATGATCGACGCGGCTTTTCCCAATGCAGATTTGGGCAGGACTCCTCGCTAACGCTGCCCCTTTCTTCCCCTCCACAGCCGGTGGACAGTACATGGATGAGCAACATCACCACCATCAAGCCCCTACCCAAGGTCCCAACATCGACGCCGACGACACGCGGCAGGCTCAGGTATTCAACAACAGTGGCTACGGCGGGCACTCCGCTTACCCAGCGCCCAACTCGGCGTCCATGTCACACATGGGCGGCGGTTCTCACGGGGGTCCCATCACCGCCACCAGACATCACAGCCGTGACAAGGGACATTCGAACGGCCCCGACGACCTGTTTCCGAACCTACCGGAGGCGAAGAAGCGCAAATTCATCCTCGTCGATGACCATTCGCGCAACTCCCGACTGCGTGTGCGAGTCACCCTCGAGGGGGTTGATACGCAGGAGATTCCCGATTCCTTCCGCAAGAGCGCCGCGGTCTACCCGGACTCGTTCTTCCCCCGCGAGATGCAAAGCCCGCCTCCTTCGCCTACCGGTTCGAGGTTCTTCATGGACGACCTAAACGATGGAGACGACGGCATCGAGGACACGAACGGCCGTGAGATGACGAGGAACCGGGGCCGGTCGTCCCAAATGGCGAAAGTGCCCATCGGGGAGAACACCGAGGCCGAGGTCCCGATCCCGCGTCTGAGGAAGGGGATGCGCGGCAGGGAAGTCCGGTTGAATGATCTGGGGTATCGCATGGCCTGGCTCCAGAGTCGTGTCTTTGCGCAGCGGAACATCTTTCTCCAGCGAGCCCGTAAGTTTTGACCGTCTCGTCGACAAAAATTCCAAATTTCGTCCGAATATCATTGACTAATCATGTTGCTTCTTTTTTTTTTTTTTTTCTTATAGTGGACTGCTATCGGAATAAAACCCGATCGGCCATTGATTCGGTCATGCAGGATATCAAGGTCGTTGCGCCTCACTATGAGACTCGCGTCGGCAAGCGGAAGTGGAATGACCGAAGGCGGAGATCCGAGTCCGACGACTAGGCGATACATACCATACCTCTCTACCCTCTACCACGTCGACTTGACGCATTCGCTTCAAGCAAGGCGTCGCGTCGGAAATCCCCCATGTTGGCGAGCAGTCAGCCTTGGTTTTTTTTTTCCCTCTTTTTTTTTCGATTCTTTACAGCAAGCAAAATACCCGCTTTGCTATGATACCTTGTCCCCCCGTACTGGAGCACCCAAAAAGTGCGAGGGCTGATTTCTGTGCGGCTGTTTCTGATTTTTTTACCCTGGTACTGAAACTCCTCGACTCCGTTTCTGTTGTATTGCCTGGATCGAGGAAGGTCTTGTTGTTCTATCTTATTAGGTGGGGGTTGTTGACGTGAAGAGACGATGAAGGATGGTCCTGTATAAAGAAAGGAAAACCTGGTCAAAAACCAAGGTGGAATGTTTTGCTTCCGCCAGTCGTTCTGCATATAGCCGTTTCGGTATGCGCTATATTGTGCCCATTCTTCGTCTTACGATTTGGCCTCTCTGTTCTTTTAATCCAGCTTTCTCTCATCGAGCGGTCTGTCAAGTAGGGGGGTATTTCGAACATTGAGAGACACACAAGCAGGCACCGCATTGAACTTGTGTGTTAACTTGATTCTATCTTGGTGGCATCTGACACCGGCGCCCTATCCCCCCTCTGGAAGATATACAGAGCCTCATCTTTGCCGGGAAAGCTGGGGAGGGCCACCTGCACGACCTTGACCCACTCCTTCTGCTGCGTCTCCATGTACTCGTCCATAGTCACGTCCCTGAACCCAGTATAGCCATTCCGGTTCTGCGTGCCGACAACGGCGATGGTGTCCCCGCGGTAAGCGGCGACCAAGTCCCGGGTGAAGGCGCCCCGCCCATCGGCCCCGACGACCGGGTACACGAGCAGCAAGACCACATCCCTCGCGCCGTCGCGGGCCGCGAGCCAGCGCAGCCCGTCGGCGACGATGGTGTCGGGGACCCAGGTCACCCGCCAGACGCTCTGCATGTTATCGACGGGAAACACGGGGCCCAGGCCGTAGGCGCGGAGCATGTGGGACCAGTACCCGTTCCCGGAGCCCATGTCGGCGAGGGGACGGCCGGCGGCGACGAGGCGGAGGAGCTCGAGGCTTTCGTGGGACGGGACGGCGCAGCCGAAGTGGTGCATTAGGACGGGGAGCACGTGGTGGCTCGTCGCGACGACGCGTTCCGAGGGCCCGGGCCCCGCGCAGGGGCCGCACCATTCGAGGTTGCGGCAGGACCAGGCCCAGAAGTCGAAGTATGGGTTCGCGGCGGGAGGCGTCTTGCAGCGCGGGATGGAGAGTTGGGCGGCGCGGGAGGGGTGGAGGAAACGTCGGGCGGTTAGGTGGGCGGCGGATTGCGCGCGAAGGGAGCCTTTCTTGGCGTTGCTTTGCATGCCTTTTAGAGCGGAGGTCGTCTGCGTGGCTGGCTCGAAGATGGAGATGTAGGCTTCTATGTCGCCTGGCGGTGGAGGGTCCAGCTGCCCGGCGTCCGCGGTCAGTGGCCAAGTCGTGGTTCTCGGGATAGTGAGGCCTAATAAAGAGAGATTTGGGGAGAGAGAAAGAGAGAGATTATGATACTAGAGAAGACGGAAAAGCGGAGTGCTTACCGGGATGCCATCTTTTGCCCTGTACCAGGCGTGTAGGTTGTTGACGCCACCCAGGCTCACGACGTGTTGGACCTGAGCTAGCGTAACGCTCGTCGTGGCATGGTAGGTGTAGGTATCCCGCTCCGGGAGACCGAAAGACGTGACAATGGCATGGTATAGGTCGTTCTTGTTGAGATGTTCACCAACTTTCTGCTGGCGAGAGGCGTCTTCGAGGTATTTATCGGGGGTGAAAGCTGGGTTGCCGACGCAATGGACGAATTTCGCCCTTTTATGTGTTTCGTGAGACATGGGAATAGAACAAGAAGAAAAAGGGAACCGGCCTCGGGAGTCTAACAGGAAATTAATAATTAATCAAAGTCGAAATACATAATTTTCTCTGCCACTGAGTTGCAGGCTGAATCGGTCGCACGTTACACTGCGTTACACTGTGTCGCTCGCTCATAATGTTGTTGCTTGCGACGTAGTGACGTATACTTCGTCCTAATATGTGGGGGAGGGGTAGATAAGGTAAGGTACATAAGCCTCGGCGCCGACATCACGTGCGTCTTCTTGCCCTCATTTGTCACTTTCTCACCCCTGCCCTGCATCTATCGTGATACCTTCGCCAAGACGAACATTTGCACGTCACCGAGCGACCGAAGAAGAGACGATACTCAAATTCTAGATAGGATCAGAGCGTGGGTTTATTTTATCTGATGCAACTCACCTTCTCGTGTAGTGCACGCCCAGTGCCCTTTTCGGTGTCAATTTCCGAATACGTATGATTGGTTCCGAAGTCCCCTTGCTATACATATATCTCGGAACAGAGAGCCCAACTCGAAAAGCTCGGTATAACAGGAAGGGTATCAAAGTTGTGGCGGCACATAGACATCAGAACATCGTGACATACCCCCATCCATACCTTGAACCCAAAATGAAACCTGTTTTTATTTTTATTTTTTTCCCGCGCCTTGCTTTTCCCTCCCCTTATACGACAAGTCAACCAGCATAGACACTAAAGTAAGGAAGGAAGGAAAAAATCCCAAATCTATAAGGGGTAAGTATAAAATAAAATAAAAATAAGAAAAGGAAAAGGAAAAGGAAAAGGAAAAGGAAAAGGAAAAGGAAAAGAGGCAAGTCGTGACAAGCCCCTACAAGGTTTGGAGTGGTTGACGCCCGTCAAACAAGCACATTGATCCTCGGCGGTGGATTTTGAATGGATAGCCATCTCCCAACTCGGGCCGGAATCGTGGTGTTAATACCTGGGTTCCTCGGTCTCGTCGTTTCGTCAATGCCTTCGATGCCGCTCTCGATCTCTATCACGTTCCTCGTCGTAACGTTCGTAATCATCGTCTCGCCGATGGTGGCGGTATTGTCTTGGTCGTTCGTCCTCTTCAGGTCTCTGATCCCGCTCCCGCTCTCGATCCCGCTCCTTCCCTCGCTCCCTTTCGCGTTCCTTTTCTCGGCGTTCTTGTGAAAACAGTTAGATCTGGAACCTGGAAGCTGAAACCCGCTTGGATGGAAAACATTCAAAAAAACATACCCCGTAGCTGCGCCGTTGCGGTCGCATATTCTTTAATCTCTTCCGAGCTCAGTACCCTAAGCACGATAACAAAATCATCGCGGACTTCAAACCGCTCTTTCCCAATCGTCAGAGCCTCCGGGTTCACAACTCGCCGGGAGATCTTGGTCCACCGTGCATTGGATGGGACCTCTCGCAGCTTCTTATCGTCCTTATGCGGGGCCACGCCCTCGCGAATCGGGTTCTCTTCCTCTGGGAATTTCCTTGGCGGTTTGAGGATGCTCTTGAGAGGCTTGTCATGTTTGTCGCGGGGTGGCGAAACCACGCGAACTTGCTTCTCTTCGGCCTTTCGGGGCACCACCTCGCGGCCCCGTGCCTGCGACTCATCCACTTCTACCAACATCGAAGAAGATTGTTGGGACAAAGCGGCCGGATTCCCCCTAGGTAATTCCTGTCTTGTTGTCCTGGCCATATCCTCTTCGCGTTCCGCAACTGTGGGCTTGTCCCCCTTTCTCTCCTTCGGGGAATCGGACGCCTTCATGTCTGAGAGCTGTTCTCTCAAGTCACGCAGGTCATTGGTGTCGGTGGGGTCGAACGCAGATGTCACTCGTGACCGCCTTGGTTTGCCTGCCGTCTTGTCGTCTTCGTCTGCTAAACCATCATCCCGCGTCGATGCCCTGACGGGTTCGTCACCGCGGAAGGCTTCTGCTTCACGCCGATGACGGTCCCGCGTCTCGCCATCGGAATGGTCCTTCCGATCAGTAGACTCTTCGCGAGCTTTATGTCGCTCCGCACGCTCGGCAGAACGGGCCGCCGCCGCCGCCGCCGCCGCCACCTCCTCCTCCTCCTTTTCCCTTTCCCTCCGACGTTCACGGTCCCGATCGCGCTGGATTTCCTCTTCCTGACTTCGCCGACGGGATTCCTTTTCGGACTCCTCGGCTGGCGTCTCATCCTTCTTGGCAGCGTGCCCGAGACCAAGCGCGGCCGCGGCGACGCCCAAGCCTGTGCCGACCTCGTCGCGGAACCTAACCCGCTCGGGCTCCTCATCGCTTGCCTGGCTGTGCCGTTGTCCCGGGTCTTTCGTATCCTTCTCCGGCCGGAATGGCTCGCGACTCCTTTTCCAGTCGTCATCGCGCGTGCCGCGTGTTTCGCGACCAGAAGGATACTTGATCTCTTCGTCAGACCCACCCCTCCTATCTTCACCCGGGACGCGATATTCTCTGCGAGTCTCGCGGCGCTCGTCGTGCTCACTCCCGACGGTAACCGGATCGGCACGTGCGCCGTCGGTAGTGAGGATGCCGAACCCACGGGTCGCAATGTCATCGTCCCGATAGACGCCATGAACGGGCTCGTATGGGGGGTCATACTGGCGTTCGAGGTCCTTGAGCTGCCTATAATTACGATCTTCCTCGCGGCTCCGGTAGTAATCTTCGTGATGGCTAGACCGAGGAGCTGGCTCCTGGTAGACGGAGACGGGGCGTCGTCGGGAAGTCTTGGGATCGACAGCGGGAGGAGCAGCAGGCTCGACGTATGTTCCGCCAGCCCGCTCTTTCGAGCCCTCGGAAGCCTGGAGGTGGGCGGGAGCAGGTGGCACCGCGGGCGGAATAGACGGTGGCAGCGGGTTGGAGTCATAGGGAGCGGAGGCGGTAGGGCCTCGGCTGATCCTATCGAAGCCCCGGGTCGTAGGCGGGGGTCCGCCCCGACTGTCGTAGCGCGTTCCGGCACCGGTGGCATTGGCGTAAGGACGACCGATGTCAGTGGGCACATTGACGGTCGGACGATGGTAACCGCGATCAAGGCTCTCCCGCCTACGCGACCGGGATGGGCGTTCGTGGGACAAGTCGTAGCGGGCGAGATCGCTCGGTGTTGTATATTCGTACCCGGCGTCGCCGTAGTCGATCGCGGCTGGATCATGTCGTGACTGGCCGGAGTAGAGGACGGCGGGGCGCGACGGACGGTACGGGTCGGGCCTAGACGAAAGCAAGGTGTCGGCAGACCGCAAGTAGCTGTAGTCGTCCGTCGTCCCGGCGTACGAGGTGCCTCGGTGGTGGCTCCGAGAGCGTATAGAAGAAGAAGCGGGTTGTGTGTAGAACTGCGAGTCGCTCGCACGGAATTCGTCGCGTGATGGACTAGTGTGGTGGGAATGCGAGGCACCGTGCTGCGTCCGGGGCTGGGTCGTAGTGACGATGACGGGCCGGGTGGCTGCTGAATCAATCGTCGAGGAGCGATGAGCGCGACTAGGTTCGCGAATAGTTGGGCCGCGGGTTAGAGGGTCTTTCGGGACGGCATAGCTAGGAGTGGCGGTGGTGGTGGCGGCAGCAGGAGGGTTGGCAGGTGGGCCGGCGGCAGTGTAGCCTCTGGAGCCAACGGGCTGGTATCGAGACGAAGGAGGCATGACCTGGATGTCCCCACCGTACATAGACGTAAAACCAACGCTGCTGGGCATAGATGCCCTCGCGGGGTTGAAAGTCGGCGAGCGCGGCCTTGGGTAGCCATATCGTGAGTAGCGGGGTTCCATGATGACGTGGGCAAAGCGAGATAAAATCCTCGCTGGCTGCTCGTTGTCGTCGGTTCCAAGAAGGAAGGCAAATAAATGATGGGTCAGGGTAAATGGAGTGCCAAACGGAGACAGATAAATGAAGAAGAAGAGGAAGAAGAAGAAGAAGAAGCAGATAACTAATCGAATCGAATCGAGGCGGCGTCGTCAAGGAAAACGGGGGGAGAAGTCGAAGAAAAAAAAGATGAAGGTGGGTGGCCACGGGAGGCGCCGGGCCTCCTCTTCTTTCTGGTTCTGCCCGTAGGTTTTTGGAACGAAGTGCGCAATAAACCCCGGTCCGGGTTTCGTTGCCGGCGAGAGGAAAATCAGACGTTTATTTGGGCGGTGCGGTGCGGAGGGGGCGGGACGATCGGGACGGATTGATAATAATGAGCAAGGAGGGGGTTGAGGCTCAGCCTTCAGGGCAGCAATTGCGCATAAAGGTACACTCGTGCCCCTCTCCTCTCCCCATAGGTATACCGCGATGTCCGATTCTAGATGATTCCTTTTCGACGACCTATCGAAAAGTAATCCGCTCGCCTGTGTCTGGAGAAGTCAGGCGATGAATATTAACATCGTATGGTAGATAAGATGGATCCCGAAGTTATGTGAAAAAGTAAGTGGAGGAAAGAAAAACGAAGGGGAATGACATGTTTTGTCAGGGGAGATAGAGGACCGGAAGAAGAAGTGGAGGGGTCGTAATCCTGAGAGAACAAGGGGGGGTATTGGTGGGGTCGAGGGGATTGAAGTTGGCGGAAGGGAGAGGAAAGGAGGGGAGGGGGGAGGGGAGGGGAAGACAAAAAATTACCAGATGGGGCGAGTTGAGCGTGATAGAAGGCTGACAGGTTGATCCGCCTTACGCCTCGAATCGAATGGTTTGGTTGTATCGGCGTCGCTTAGCGACTTTCGGCGAGGAAGTCGAGTCGGGGATGGGGATAGTTAATTATAATACGAAAAATATATTCTGAAAATCTCGTCCGCCGATCTCCGTTGTCGGTGTGGTAATCGTGGAAGCCGGATGCAATGGTGGTAAGAAGTTTGTGTCCTGGCTAAAGGGGGAGCAAGAAGAAGGGTAAAAAGTGAGCAACGCGTGAGCGGAAGGCGCTGATCGTTGGAGAGATGCGTTGGTAGTTTGGCCTCACGTCTTTGGAACCGTTCGAGCTCAGAGAGAAAACGAGATGGCAAAGAGAATGAGATGCAAGAGTTGTCTGTAGACGGTGATAGAGCTCAGAGGATTGAGGGATTTGAGAATTTCGGTGTGGGAGGGGAGCTAGGTTTCATGGGAGATGCCGCATGACGGTCCCGTTTTGGGGTGCTGCCTTGGGTGCTGCCTTGGGTGCTGCCTTGGGTGATGCCTTGGGTGATGCCTGGGGATGTTGCCTCGGGATGGCGGTGATGATGATAGAGAAGGTGGTGAGGGTGTGCTAAAAGGCAATGCCCAAACTAAGCTAGCCCGAGAGTGGATGAAGCTGCGTCAGCAAGACGAGGTCTTGCAGGTTATCGGACAAGTAACAGTACCTGCAGGGAGGTACGGAGTACACTAATTACACAATGGGGTTCTAGGGGTTCTTGAGGTTCTTGAGGTTCCGCTAGAAAAGGGTCGTCATGTTCATGCTCGTACTCCGTAAGGCAGTGTGGAGCCCATCAAATCGATGAGCTGGTGGGTCCGTATGTAAACCAACTTGAGATGAGATGATGATTAATTAGGGGCGTAGGTGAATGTGATATTGCAGGAGGGAGTGGCGTTGGTGGGGATGCCCTGTGAGATGGCGAGGAAAAAAGACGTAGACAGACGGGCAGGGCAGGTGAGATGGACAGAAAGACGGTTTCCGTAATTAAATGGTCGGGCTTCTTCGGGCTCGGGGCTGACGGTCCTTGAGGTACTGTTGCTAAATGCAAAGGGAAGGAATGACCCCCCGAGCTGCGGGAAGGTCCCTTCCCCCTTCCCGATTCAAGCAAGTCTTTTCTCGATGTGAAAAATGCTGGCCCGGGGTGGAGCGGGGTAAAGCGCCGTTGGAGGCTGTTGGGGAATTCGGGAAGTAGCGACTACCTTACAACGGTACCTTAGTCGAAATCGCCACGATGACGATGACGTCTCTTCGTCTCTTCGAGGTTTCCGTTTCGCTGCCAAGACCCGTAGCCGGCGTCTTTTCGGTGTGGTGTCCTTGTCTTCTTGCCTTGCTGCACCTTGAATTAGGTTAGTTCCATGATCTTTTCTTTGCTGCCTTGGTACGGAAGTACGGAACTTTCGGAACAGACCTTTTTTTCTTCTTCTTCTCCTCGCACTGAAAACACCGCCCGAAAACCTACGGCCTGAACTTCACCCTTGCACTTTTGCCAGGGTCTCCAGAGAGAACACGAAGAAACGAAACGTTGAAGCTTAGATGGGCTGTGATCTGTACTTGGTCCGAAATTCTCGTACCTTGACGACCCTGGAAACTTACACAGACCCAGACCCGAGGCCTCGGTGAACGAAAGCGGCTTTCCCCCCCTCAATTATTTCTTCCCAGATTCCCTTGTCGCTGCTTTGGCCCTCACTTCGAATACCGGATTTGATCGACATCGGGCAAAACATGGGCAAGGCGGTTTGCTTGCGCCCGGGGTGCCGCCCTGAATTTCCAACTTGCAACCCAGCAAGTAATAACTACCTGTAACCTCCAATCCACAAATCCGCCATCCACGGCATCGTCACATACCAAGACGGGGAACAGCCAGTCAATTCCCATCCCCGTGATCCTCCCACGAGGAGTCGTCTCTACCCGCTGGCTTCGAGACGTGGTTTCTTTGCTTCCTTTGGTGTCGCTCTAGACACTTTTTGCACTATGGGAGGGGCCATGGCTCGATAGCAGGATTGACATTGTTAGGCTGCAATCATTTTGCGACCCAACCATTACATTACTTCGCCAAACAATTGCCTTATCCCGCGCCACAGGGGCCCTTGGTTTCGAAACAATTCCACTCTCTTCTTCTCAGGTCTGCGCTCCCTGGCCTGACCGGGCAACTTCGTCCATCAATCACATCGAGTTGAAGACTCACAACTGAGCCTGTGCCCTTCATAAACATAGCCGCCAGACTCGCTCATGCTCCAAAGCGGGGTCCCTCTCTGCGCCGAGCTTCGTCTGATCACGTCTTGCGCAACTTCTTGTGGCTCATCTCTTTTTGACACTAATAATAAGCTCAGCTTGTGTCTCTAGTTCTCTATGTAACCCGATCTTACTCTAGGGAATATCCGCTACGCCGTGCGCCGTGCGCCGTTCCAATCTGATCCAAGCAGTGCGAGTAACCCCCTTTGATCTTCGACTAATCCCTGGCTACACAGACAAAAATTGCACATGGGGTCAAGTGATGGGTTGGGTTTTCTTTGGGTTGTTGATCTGAGGTTGGTTCGGGTTTCCCATCTGAAAACCAGCCCGCCATTCTGAACTATGCGCAACCATCAACCCCCCCCCCCCCAAACTCCGTCGTCGGGTAGCGACCTTCCATGGCTCTTAACCCCCCTCGCACGAGGCCCGGGCTCAACTTCTCAAGGATCACCCCGGGAGACGAGGGATTTGAGAAGAAAACGCAGTGGCACAAAATCGGCGACCAGACTTGCTTTCAAAGCCGACGTCATCACCAGATTGCTTAGCTCTTACCAATGCTACCAGGTTGCCATTTTCAACGTCACACGCGACTCCGGTAGGAACCAGAGTGCCCACATACCTGAACCTCCTTTCTGTATCCCCATTCTTTTCTCTTGTTCCCAAGGTAACGGGCACTACTCTCATACTGTTGCATGAGTTGATATGGCGGGGGGGGGGGGGGGGGGGGGGGGGGGGGGGGGGGGGGCAAAAGTACACTGCGATTACGAGAACGAGGTAATGAAGATGTTCATCGATTAACGCCAACTTTTCGTATTCGTTGCATGTCCTGGTTCTGTAAATGCGCCAATAGACCTAGTATTTGGCATTGCGCTTTCCTACACTTTCCAGGGAAATATCACATCCATATTCGACCGTCAGAGGGCTCAGGTTGGAAATCTATATCATCACTGACGCTGGCCCACTTGCATTACAGAACCATCACGCAAGACTCCCCATGGGATCCCATAGAGGAAGTACGACAGGCGTCTTCTTGAGCACGTCCTTGACCTCCTTGGCGAGGTACAGAGGGTCCACGACAGCCTGGTAGACAAACTCATCCATCCACGCATCGGACATGACGAACCAGCCCTTCTGCCCGGACCGCTCGCCCCAGCTATTCTGCACCCGCCACCGCACCGTGCCGCCCTGGGAGTCGACATGCACGCCCGTGAGGACCATGGCATGCGTCAACTGCGATTCCCTTGCGCGGAGCCGATCCGCCTTGTCGAGCCCCCGCAGCCCGACGCCAAAGCCGAGCTCGCAGTCGAAGAGGTCGAGGTCCATCATGCCGAATGTGGCGCTGCTGAACTTGCCGACGTCGGAGCCGAAGAACACGGGCTGCCCCCCGCGGAGGCTGGCCACGCAGGCGGCCTTGAGGGTGTGCATGTCGACGTTGACGTAGGTGACGGGCCTGCCCCCGACGACGTTGCCGAGGCGGTCGACGGTGAGCCGTGTCAGCGGCGGGTGGCGGGGGTCGTGCACGAGGGAGACCATGTTGGTGGCGCGGTGGAGGGCGCAGGGCGCGAGCGAAAAGACGCAGGGTGTGGTGCGCAGCTCGTGTGCCTGGCCGTCCGCGTCCTCGTACGCCCAGGTGAACTCGGCACGGGGGTCTGGCGGCGGCCCGAGGGTGACGGTCAGGACGCCTAGGATAGCGCGAAGCATGCGGGCCTTGGCGTATGTGACGGCCTGCGAGGCCGTGGTGGCCTTGTCCTCCTCGTCTTCTTTCTCCCTTCCATCCTCCTTTTCCTTCTCCTTCTCCCGCTCGACAAGACGACGGAGGACTACGGCATACTCACGCAGTTGGGACCTGAGGATCCTGTTCAGGACAGACGAATTTTTGGCGTTCCATGTATCCGGGTAGAGGGACTGCGGCACGAGCCCGTACTTGCTAACAAGGTTGCTGACCATGTCCCACTGGCCGCCGTCGGAGATGGGTTCGGCGAGGAGGTGCTGCACGAGGCGGGAGTCGAGGTGGTATCCGTGGGCGGCGGTGTCGATGACTTGCTCGAGGAACCAGTTGGCCTTTTCCAGCTTGTCCCAGAAGAAGAGGTAGGACTGGGAGAGCTCGAAGGCGGCGAGGTCGTACCGCTTCATGAGGGCCACGCGAAAGACGTTGGTCGCGGCGAAGAGCCAACAGCGGCCCGAGGCGTTCTGGTTGGTGACCGGACTGCCTTCCAGGGGGATACGGACGTTGAAGACGTGGGGGTCGGCGCGGATAGTGGCCGCGGAGATGAGGGCCTTGCGAGGATCACCGACGCTGAGAGCCATGAGAGCGAGCCTTTGGGAATAGTTGTGAGCACAAACATCTTTTCAGGATTTGGGGGGGGGGGGGGGGTTGGCTGGGGTGAAGTAGGGATTTTGGTGGGTAGTTCATGTCACCACACATACCTATTCTTGGGCTCTTCGAGGAAACGGCGCTGCCATGACTGGACAAGCGGCAGCGAGAGGCTCTGGGGCTTACGGGCAAGGCAAGCCGATTTCTCGTTCATCTGGTTGGATTCGGGACTCTCCTGGTGGCCATTGCGAATATGCACCCCGTCAAGACCCTGATGGAGGGTCTCGTCGGTCATGACCTCGGCGGACATGATGACATGAGGCGGGGGCTTGGAGGGTTTACCCCCCATGCTGATGAGAAGCCAGGACATGGAAAAGATGATTGCCAGTAAAGGGTGTGAAGAGAGGAAAGGGGGTAGGTAGGGATGAAAACAAGGGGAACGAGTTGGTGGTTCGACTCGACAAATTTGGAGGGAGACGCAGGTAAGGAGAGAAGTGATGAGGACAGAGAGCAGACAGACTATGGCGGGGCTTTTATTATGACCAGATATTCGTAGGCATTCAGAATGGGCTTCATATTGTTTGCGGCTTCAGGTGGCGTCGGAAGGTTTGAGGATGAGGGAAGTGTAAGTGGTGTAAGTGGTGTAAGTGTACGGACAACAGGCAGGGCACCTACACAAAACGAGGTGCTACTAGCTTAGGTACTTACGAAGGTACCTTACCTTGGGTAAGTACTAGTACAGTCCGCTACGATGACACGAACGACGAAAGAAGAGAAGGCAAGGGATTCAATTCAATGAGATGCCTCCAATTACAACGTAGACTAGACTCAAGACATTTACAAAGCAGCCTATCCACTGACCAAAGCTTGTCGTGGCACAGAAGTAGAACGACAAAACCGGTCTAGTACACAAGGCAACTAACTGCATTGAAACAACACCCGTCTCCAAACACACACATCTCCTTCTACCTAGTTACCACCTTGCCAGGATGGAGGGGGGTACATCTTGCGACCCGTTTACAGGCGAGAGCCGTGGATGACCTTCATGTCGACAGCAAGCTCGCGGCCGCCGTCGTCAAGGACGAGGACACGAACGCTGCCGCGGCCGCTCTCGAAGGCCCTGCGGAGACGCTCCCACAGGTTGGACTGCTCAATGACGGGCATGCCCTGCTTGACATCGCCAGTCTCGGTCATGGCGACGACGCGGCCGTCGGCCATGTCGAGGACGCGGTACTGCTTGAAGACGGGGCCGAGCATGGTCTGGACCACGACGCTGGGCTCGGGGTTGGAGATGAAGGACGACTCCTCGTGGAGCTGCTTGGTGAACAGGTCGACACCCAGGTAGCGGTACTGGCCGGTGGCGGCCGAGGTGGAGATGCGGATGACCTGGCACGGGCGGCCCTGGAGCATCAGGAAGTCGCCCATGCGGATGTGGTGGCAGGGGATGGTGACCGTGTTGGGCAGGTAAGGGCCCTGCTTGGGGGGGCACGGGCGGGAGCGGGTGCTGACGGAGGTGCGCGTCTCGCGGACGTCCCGGTCAACGACGGGGTCCTGGCGGTCTTCGGGAACAAGGCGGTCAGCCAAGTTCTTGAGCCCCTGGCGGAGGGAGCGGTAGTTGCCTTCCCAAATTTGGGGAGAAAAGGAAAATTTCGCAACATGGAAATTCAAACCGAAACCAAAACACCAAGGAGATTGTAGGGCTCAAAACTCACCATCTTCATCGTAGTAACCCATCTTGGCCTTGATACGGTCGCGAAGGCGGCGTCTGGGGGGTTCGACGGTTTCCTCGGTAACCTTGTAAGAAGCGTTGTCCTTGTAAACGGGAGCCTGGCTACGGCCCTCGACGGTGAATTCGGATTGGCGGAACTCGGACTGGGCCTTGGGAGGAGGGCAAGGACGTTCGACAGTCACTTCCTCGCAGCGGTAGCTAGGCTGGAAGCGTTCGCGGTATTCGCGTTCAATGCAGTCGATGGGAGTGTCGTAGTGGCGGTGGTGACGATCAACCTCGACGAAGGTCTGGGAGTAGTTGTTGGGGCGTTGGGGTCTGGTTGGAAGGTAAAAGGGAAAAGAAGGAGGAAGATGTCAGTCGGAGGAAAAACGAAGGGGAAATTCTTCACCGGTGTTTTCAATCGTCACTCGGTCAACCGGGGCGGAAGAAGAAAAACGTGCATGGGCCATTGGGAAAAGGAAAGAAAAGCAAGGCTTGCTTGCTTGCGTGCGTGCTGTGTTGTTGCTTGGGTCTCGGGCAACGAGCCCCGGCGGGTGGATGTCCAGTGGGATGGATTATGCAGGCGGACAACGACAAATCAATCTCGCCAAAATAGGGGTGGCTTGGGCGGTCTGAGGGCTGAAGTGATAAAGTGATAAATATCACTTGGCCAGGACCAGGGTAGGGGGTGGGGGGGAGCGAGTGGGCTGGGGGGTGAAGGGAAGAAGAATACGAGGAGTAAAACGGGGACGGCACAGGAGAAATCAGGCCAGCCCAAGGACAGAAAAACGAAGAGGGAAAAAAAAGATGGTCTGTTCTTCGCCTTTTTGCCTGTGGACCGCCGTTCTCTTGGTCGTCCGCTCTCCGCTCGCTACCTTTTCAAATCGACATGAAGCGTGATTTGATTTGGTTGAGAACATCCGGACAGCGTCCGAGCAGATGGGCAGCGAAGTTGAGGACGCGAAACAAGATAAAACGAAACAAAACAAAAAATTGCGACATACCGGTACTCTTCGTAGGTGGTCTGGATCTCTTGACGGAAGCCCGGACGGTGGTAGTGTTCTTCGTAGCGGACCTCTTCTTCGCTCAAGCGTTGCTGTTGCTCCTTGCGAGGAGGAGGGAGTTGCTGCTCGGCAGCGACGGGGGCGGAAGCGGCGAAAGAAGAGTCTTGACCTCCCGGTCCGGCCTCGGGCTTGGGAGGGAAATGGACCTCGACTTGCTCCTGATGAACGGTCTCGGTGACCGTCTGGGTCTGGGTCTGGGCCTCGCTGTCCTTGTAGGTGGACGGGAAGACGCTGAAGGGAACGGGGACGCGAGCCTCAAAGTCCAGGATGGGCGACTGTTGGCGTGGCGCAAAGAGGAGCTATTCTTCTTGAGCGTGACCTTCCGTTGGTGACGAAAGGAAAAGCAAAAGAAGAATGAGAACCTCTTGCTTTGTTTTCCTAGAAAAACAAAGTAGAAGGGGGGAAAAAGGGAAGAAGCCGGGCTTTAATGGCACCACGCGCTTCTTGTGCTTTTTCTGTTGTTCTTTGCTTTTCTTGAGGTTTAAAGGGTAAGAAGCGCTTGACGATGGATGATAGAAGGAAGGCGGTTAGGTATGGAAGAAGAAGAAAACGAGGAGATACGACAGTCGGGAGAGGGCGATGCGTATGGGGTTTTGTGGCCGGGGGTTGTGTTTGGCTCGTTGCACCGTTGCGTGGCAGAGGGTTGCCGCGGTAGTGAGAGGAGAGTGGTACAGTGTAGGGGAGGCCAGGGTGTATATAATACAGACGAGGGGTGTGTGTATCGAGGCGTTTTGAGAAGAAGGCTGGGGGAAGAAAAAGTACGTTGTACGGAGTACGTTGTAACGAGTGGTTGTGACATGCTACCTTGGTGGACGAACGAAAAAGAAAGAAAAAGGGGGGAGTAAGATTTGTTGTCCTCAGCTCAGGCGAGATGAGGACCGCGAATCCTGGGATATTGTGTTGGTATTTGTTTACATTCGATCAAAGAGGTTTAGCTCGGAGTGATAGCTTCAGCTTAGGGCCATGTACCTGCGGATCCTTACCCCTGAATTGCCCACACTGCACGTAAGGTATTCCTGCTATTCCTGTGTAAGGTACAACGTACGAAATAAGTACAAAGTCCGATCGTCCCCTTTAGCCTCTCCGACGCTTTTCAGGGCGACGCGTCTAGGCTCATCTGAGGACGTGTCTAATCAACTAATCAATCACGATAATTATCGGCTTGGCCTGAACCTCGGTTGTTCCTCAATCGACCCAGCCATCTGCATTTGCATTTGCGTTGCAAGGGCTTGCTTGGCCTTTCGAGACGGCTGGGAATGCACGTGACATGATGGCACTCAGACAGAACGACCATCTCACATCCTACGCAGTATGAATGCCTAATTGCAGCTCTGTGCAGGAGAGCCCACAGGGAACCTGCTCTACCGTCCTCTCAATTGGTCTAGGCCTTGGCGATCCAGCAGCAAGTCGAGCCCCAACCACCTCGTGTTCTTGACCGTCCCCCGTGGACGCCCTCGATTGGATGTCGGCGATCGCTGATTTCAGCGATGTGCAAGAAGCTAAGGTTAAGGTACAACGTACAACGTACTCGGCTTGTTAAGTTGTTATTACCTTTTATGCATGTTGGCTGTCTGTACAGATACAGCGTAATAATTGTGCTAGGCCAAGCTGCGACGACGCCATCTTGTCCCCACTCCCCCACAAACCCCCTGGTCCTACTTTCAGCCTGTGCCGTGTCGTGCCGTGTCGTGTGTCGTGTCTTGCGCGTTCGTGTCACAAGTGCGAACGAACGGTCTCCAGACGACTTCAGGGAGAGCTAGTGGTGTCCTAATTATCCTCGTTCTGACCCAGCAAAGTCGACTCACAGAACTCTTTCCAGCCTCCCCAAGCTGTCTCTTATTGCCTTTCGTCTTGGAGTTTAGGTTCTTATATCATTACGATGGAAGGGGCCCTAATTAGCACTTGTTGGTTTCCCAGCCTCCTCTGATTCCTTGTGCTTGGCCGTTGCTCTGGCGATAGATGTTGGTTGGTGCTGACTAATTCCTTTGTAGACTTCGTCCCGATACGCTGTACACGGATGAATGTGCCTCGGTACCCTGATATTTGTGCGTATCGTATGCAATTGGACAAACGGGTTAAAATCATTACTAAGCATTTGTTCTAAAGCGGACAAAGTACGGATCTATACCTAACTTTTAGGTACCTCAGACAGTGGAAATGCCCCGCATCGACGTAATCTGAACAAGTTGTGTGTCAACTCGACGAGCTTCGGTGCCCCTCCAGACATTTTGCCTCTCCATCAACCACCAGTTAAGGGAACTCGCCCTCGTCTTCATCCTTTTCTTTTTCTTTTCTTTCTTTGCTCGAGGACCAGGACCAGGACCAGGACCAGCTCCCGTTCCCTCGTGCTACCCTGATCCACCATGAAGCAACGCTTCTCATCTCTCGATGTCAAGGTTTGTCCCGCGACTCCCCCCTTCGAGCTCAACAATGGGAGAAAAGCAGGGTCTGCTTTATGCTAACTGGAAGCTTACTACTCCGCAGGTCATCGCCCACGAGCTCCAAGAGAGCCTCGTCTCGCTACGACTGGCCAATGTCTACGACCTTTCTTCCAAGATTCTACTCCTAAAGTTCGCCAAGCCAAACAATAAGAAGCAACTTCTCATCGACTCGGGCTTCCGCTGCCACCTCACAGACTTTGCGCGCACTACTGCCGCGGCCCCGTCCGCTTTCGTCGCACGTTTGCGCAAATTTCTCAAGACGAGGCGCCTGACCTCCGTTCGCCAGATCGGCACAGACCGTATCATCGAGTTCCGGTTCAGCGATGGCCAGTACCGCCTGTTTCTCGAATTCTTCGCCAGTGGCAACGTCATCCTGACAGACGCCGACCTCAAGATCCTCGCACTCCTCCGGAATGTGCCCGAAGGGGAGGGCCAAGAACCGCAGAGGGTCGGGCTGAGCTACTCTCTGGAGAACAGGCAAAACTACGGCGGCGCCCCCCCGCTGACCGAGGAGCGTCTCAGGGATGCGCTGCGCCTCACCGTCGACAGGGCCGCCCGTAAGGCGGCTGCTGCCTCGGGCAAGAAGAGCAGATCAAGACCCGGAGACGAGCTGAGGAAGGGTCTGGCTACCACGATTACCGAACTGCCTCCGATGCTCGTCGATCACTCGTTTCTCGTCACCAATTTCGATCCCTCCATCTCCCCGGCCGAAATACTAGAAAACGACGAGCTTTTGGCCCACTTGCTCCGGGCATTGACCGAGGCGCGGAGGGTCGTCGAGGAGGCTACTACTTCGGAGAAAGCCACCGGGTATATCATCGCCAAACACAAGAACGGAAAAGCAGAACCCGGAGAGACCCCCGGAGACTCCGCTGACACGGAAATGGCCCGACGGGAGGACCTCCTGTACGAAGACTTCCACCCGTTCCAGCCGCAAAAGGCCGCCGACGATCCATCGGCGAAGGTGCTCACCTTCGAGGGCTTCAACAAAACCGTGGACGAATACTTCTCCTCCCTGGAGGGCCAGAAGCTCGAGTCGAAACTCTCGGACCGCGAGGCTGCGGCGAAAAGAAAACTCGAGGCCACGAAGGAGGACCATGCAAAGCGCCTCGAGGGCCTGCAGGAAGCCCAGACGTTGAACGAACAAAAGGCCGCCGCGATCGAGGCCAATCTCGAGCGCGTCCAGGAAGCCATGGATGCCGTCAACGGCCTTTTGCAGCAGGGAATGGATTGGGTCAACATCAACAAGCTCATCGAGCGAGAGCAGGAACGGGGCAATCCGGTGGCAGAGATGATCAAACTTCCCCTGCGACTCCACGAGGATGTCATCACCCTATTGCTGGGCCGAGAGGAGGAGATGGACGACGACGACATGGACGAGGCATACGAGTCGGGGTACGAGTCGGGGTCCGAGTCCGGCAGCGAAAGCAGCGACGACGAGGATGCAGGAGCCGGTTCAAGAGGCGCCGATAAGCGGCTTCAGGTCGACGTCCACTTGAGCCTCTCCCCGTGGGCCAACGCCAGAGGATACTACGAACAGAGACGTACGGCGGCCGTGAAACAACAGAAAACGCTGCAGCAGTCGGGAGTGGCGCTGAAGAACGCAGAACGCAAGATCGAAGAGGACTTGAAGAAAGGCCTCAAGCAAGAGAAGGCAGTCCTGCAGCCCATCCGGAGACAGATGTGGTTCGAAAAGTTCATCTGGTTCATTTCGTCCGACGGGTACTTGGTCCTCGGCGGCAAGGACGCGCACCAGAACGAGATGCTGTACAAGCGGTACCTGCGGAAGGGGGACGTCTACTGCCACGCCGACCTCCACGGCGCAACGTCGGTGATCGTGAAGAACAACCCGAAAACCCCCGACGCGCCGATCCCCCCCGCGACGCTGGCGCAGGCCGGCATGGTGGCCGTCTGCAGCTCCAGCGCATGGGATTCCAAGGCCGGCATGGGCGCTTGGTGGGTCCACGCCGATCAAGTGTCCAAGTCCGCGCCGAGCGGGGAGTACCTCCCGGTCGGCAGCTTCACGGTGCGAGGGCAGAAGAACTTCTTGCCGCCCGCTCCGCTGCTGCTCGGGCTGGGGGTCCTGTTCAGGATCAGCGAAGAGAGCAAGGCCAGGCACGTCAAGCACAGGCTGCGCGATGATGCGGATAGCGTGGCAAGTTCCGCCCCGCAGGAAAGCATTCCCGAGACCACCATTCCGTCGGCAGCGTCGACCAGCGCCCAGGAGGCCGGAGATGATGAGAGCATGGATGAACAGTGGAGCGGCGATGAGGAGGAGGAGGAGGAGGAGGACAGCGCCCCGCGTGACAATCCTTTGCAGGGACGTAATAACGACGACGAAGGAGACGAGGCGGGAGAAGGTGAACCGTCGGAAGACCCAGCTCCGGTTCAGGAGATGGGGCGGTTGGAGGTTTCAGGGAAACCATCTGAGCCCAACAAGCCGGATGTCGAGGAGGAGGAGTCTGTTAAGAAAGAGCTCGCCGAACGAGTAGGTGACGGGGATGGCGCGGATGATGGAGACGACAGCGACGCCGTCGAAGATGGCGACGGTGCAACGGAACGCACCGCTACCGAAGGACAAACGATGACGGACGAAGGGCCTTCGGCACCAGCAAGCTCTCGTGGCGGAAGCTCGACCCCGGCGAACACGAAGAAACCGCAAAAGCGAGGGCAAAAGCGCAAGGCCAAGAAGATGGCGACCAGGTACAAGGACCAAGACGAAGAGGACCGGCTGGCGGCGCAGGCGTTGATAGGCGCATCCAAGGGCAGGCAACGGGCCGAGGCGGAAGCCAAGGCGAAGGCGCAGAGGGAAGCGGAGCTGGCGGCGCAGAAAGAGAGGCGGCGGGCACAGCACGAGCGTCGGAAGAAGGAGACGGCGGAACACGAGGAGGTGCGGCGGCTGATGCGGGAGGAAGGGGTGGAGGTGCTGGAGGCCGACGAGGAGGAGAAGACGACGGCGTTGGACGACCTGGTGGGGACGCCGCTGCCGGGAGACGAGTTGGTCGAGGCGATCCCCGTGTGCGCGCCTTGGAACGCGATGGCTCGGTGCAAGTACAGGGTCAAGATGCAGCCGGGGGCGTTGAAGAAGGGCAAGGCGGTCAAGGAGATCTTGGAGAGGTGGAAGGCGGATTCGGGGAGGAAAGGGGCATTGGACGAGCGGGCGCAGGACACGGAGCGGATGTGGCCGCGGGAAGTGGAGCTCATCAAGGGGTTCAAGGCGGAGGAGGTTATCAACGTGGTGCCGGTGGGTAAAGTGAGGGTCATGATGGCGGGAGGCAGTGGAGGTGGTGGAGGCGGCGGCGGAGGTGGAAAAGGGGGCCAAGGAAAGGGAGGTAGGGGTGGGAAGGGGTCGAAGAGGAAGTAGGAAGCGACCATGGGAGGGAGGTCAGGTTATGCACTAGGAAGGGAAAGCGAGGGGATTTAACCCGGACAGCCTTACTCGGTACATTGCTAAAAGATATGTCACCATCTATATATGAGGTATATATATACATGCGTATGTTCTACGCCCAACTTCTTGACCTTTTTCCGGGACTGTCAAGTAATTAGTATCGGTAGAAGAACCCACCGTGACCTGTGTTAGTTTCTGTATTGGCTGGGCATGCATGTACCCGGCAGTTCCTTGACAAGAGCACCAGATTTGTCGAGTCCTTCCGGCGTTTAACAGCGTTTGTGGGGCCGATCAGACGGTGCACATCCGGAGCGGAGGGGCGGGGCACCGGTGTACTGTGTGTGTACTTGGTACTAGATGAAGCGACGGCAGTTGCGGGCACTTGCGTCTCGGGTAAGTGATGCATGACGAGGGACGGAAAAGTCTCAACTAAGTCTTTTTATCCGAGAAGCTCCTGATTCAGTATATATGGGTTGTGAGGCGAGTAGGATTGGTTATTCATAATGCGATGAGTAACGGATGGAGTAGGTATATGAAATAGTCCGGTGTCCGGCGTTCCCTCACCGTCAACTCCCGTCCTGCCGTCTAAGCATCGTCCTCACGTCCATCAAAGCCTTCCCGAGCAAATTCAACCCCCAATCCTCCCTCGTCACGTTCTCGGCATCGCGTTCCTTGTAGCCGATGCCCCAGACGGGATCAAACGGCGACGCTTCCACCAGCTCCGTCTCCCCCGTGGCGAGCAGCAACTCCTTCAGACCGGCTTCGGAGACGGCACGCGTAAACTTGAACAGGTTACCGCGACGGACGATGGCTTCGCGATGTTCTCGCCACGTCGACTCGGAGAAGTTGGATACCTTGCGGCCGAGGTCTTTTGCTTGGCGGGGGTGTTTCGCCGTGAGGATTCTATGGGCTGAGGCGGCGTCTTTGAAGAGAAGCGCCTTGTGGTACATCATGTAGCTATCCCCGCCCCCGGCCCTTCTTGTTAGATTTTTCATGTCGTCTAGCACTGGAGTTGAAGAATGAGAGGTCTTTTGAACGCACTGTTCTGCTGTAAAGTACACCTTATTCGGATCCTCCTCGTCGCGAAACGGACAGAAGTACCACTGGGACAGCCAACGACCGACCACTTCCCCCAACACGGGCCAGACGGCGTATTCAAAGCCCAAGGTGCCAGTAAAAGCGCCCGGCGATGAAGATGGCGGCCTTTTCCCGACAAACTCAGATCATTGGAAATAAATAAGAAAATAAATAAATAAATACATAAATAAAGAAATAAAGAAAAGATGATGCCTATGGAGGCGGCGGCCGGTGCTGCATGTGCGCCTGCCCATACTGCTGCGACGAGGACGAGGAAGTCTGCGGTCGCATGAGCGGGTTATACCGCGGGTCATTAAGGTAAGGCGTGACGGTCTGGTCAATGACCTCGGTAGTCTTGTTCAGCCACTTCTTCGCCTTGGCGCTTCCGAAAAGCCTACTGCTGCTGGTGCTGGTGCTGCTGCTGGTGCTGCTGCTGTCCATTTTTGACGGCACGGACGGCGGCGGCAAGTGCGTCGGCCTAGGGGGACCCCCGTAGGTGGCCGGATTGTAGACTGGCTGCTGGAGCTGGATCGGCGAGGGCGGAGGTGGTGGGAAGGGAACGGCCGTCGAGTTGCGGGGCGGGAGAGGTGGGGGGACGGGCGCACCGCTTCCCGGGTGTTGTAGGGGAGAAGCTGGATGCCCCAGCTGCGGGCCCGGAGGAGGTGATAGTGTTGAGGGCGGATAGAGCGTTTGCTGCTTGGCCGGTGGGCCGGCTGGCGTGGGCGGAGTGGGAGCTTGTTCCGATGCCTGGACTTGCGGTGTTTGCTGGATATAGGTGGACGTTGACCCCGGCCGGTTGGGGGAAGAAGTGATTACTTGTTCATACGATGGAGGAGGAGAGGTCGGTGTGTTCTGGTGATGTTGCTGCTGTTGCTGTTGCTGTTGCTGTTGCTGTTGCTGTTGCTGTTGCTGTTGCTGCTGCTGTTGCTGTTTCTGTTGCTGTTTCTGCTGCTGTTGCTGTTGCTGTTGCTGTTTCTGCTGCTGCTGCTGCTGCGCCGATGGCGGCTGTGCTGGGCCGGGGGAATACGTGGGCCCGGGAGCATACTGCGGGTATTGGGAAGACGGCGTGGGAGTCGTTGGAACGGCTGGTGAATGACCCAAGGGAGGAACAGCTTGTGGCGACTGGGGGGCATGGGACGGAGGGGGGGAAGATGCGGGTGGCGCATACTGCGGTTGTGAAACGGGGGGAGTATATTGCGGCTGGGAAACGGGAGGAGCATATTGCGGCTGCGGAATCGGTGGAACCGGTGCTATCGGTGCTCCATAACTCGCCGAGATCAAGGGGCCCTGAAACGTAGCAGCAGCAGCAGCGGCACCGGTTGCGGAAGGAGGTCGGCAAGGCAAGGTCAAGGTCATAGACGGTCCTTGAGGTGTAGCAGGGCCCGGGTTCGGGTTCAGGTTCGGGTTCAGGTTCGGGTTCAGGTTCGGGTTCAGGTTCGGGTTCAGGTTCGGGTTCAGGTTCGGGTTCAGGTTCGGGTTCAGGTTCGGATTCGGGTTCGAGGGACCGGTCGGAGTCGAAGTCGCGCTCGAAATAGGTGGGGCTGTCGGCGTCGGTGCTTGCCCCCCCTGCGGGGGAGAAGCCGCGGTCGGGATGTGAGGCCTGAGGGCTTGGGGTGTCGAGTCGAAGAGGATCGGAGCTTGGCCCGTAACGACGTCGGACCCTCCCCCAGGCCCCGTTTGCTTTCCCTCCCGTCCCTCTTTGCTGCCTCCCACTTTGACGATATTCAGCGGCTTCACGTGGAAAGCCGGATCCTCTTCAATTCCCTGGTTTTCTTGTCCTCCCTGGTCCTGACCGTGTCCCTGTGCTTGGTCCTTCCCTTGGCCCTGTGCTTGGTCCTTCCCTTGGCCCTGCTCTTGGCCCTCTCCTTGGCCCTGCTCTTGGCTCTGCCCTGGGCCCTCTCCTTGGCAATGTCCTTGACCCTGTCCCTGGGAGTCCATGTCAGATACTGGACGGGACCCAGCATCGTCGGGTAGGAAGAAGCCCCAGGGGTTGGCTTGGATGGGGGAGGCCTCCTGCTGTTGCTGTTGCTGTGTGGTCGAGGTCGGGCTCAGCTTCGAGGAGTCGGCCGGCTCGGCGGGCATCTCGTAGATTGGGCCATCCTGATTCTGCGACTCGGTGGGTTTGGGCGACCATGTGGACGGCGGGTTTGCCGGGGTAGTAACGATGGGGGCTTCGAGCTCTGCAACGAATTGCTGCTTCTGCTGCTGCTGCTGCGGCGGCGGGCTAGTGGCCTGGGGTTGTTGGAATGGGTGTGGTGAAAAAAAGGGCGAATGCGGCGACTGCGGTGACTGTGGTGAATGTAGCGGTGATTGGGTTTGATGAGGTCGCTGGGGTTGCTGGGGTTGCTGGCACTGTTGATATTGGTACTGCGGTTGCTGATACGGATACGCTTGATATTGTTGCTGCGGTTGATAGTGCTGCGGCTGCTGTGGCCGTTGAGGGCGCTGTTGATGTGGGGAGTACGGCTGATATTGGGCATTCTGTTGAGACTGATATTGTTGGTACGGATTTTGCGGATGCTGCTGGGGATGCTGCTGAGGAGGTTGACCTTGCGCCTGATAAGGTCGAAAGGCATAGCCTGGAGCCCCCGACGAATGCTGTCCTTGGCCAGGCGACGCCATGTTGTTGTTGTTGTTGCCCGTTCGTTTCTCCAGCGCCTTCGATTGAAACAAAGCCGCGGCTCTCGTCCGACTAGGAGAAGGAAGGTGAACGTGGAAAAGAGAGAGGGTGGGACGGAGGAAGGAGAGAGGCGAGAGGCGAGAGGCGAGAGGTTGTCACGACCTCAGAGGGCGCGGCGCAAACAAACCTCAACCCTTAGACCAGTTCTGGGATGAACAAGATGGGAGAAAAATACGAGATCAATAAATCGAGGGAGGGGAGGCGGGGAAGTCGGCCTTGATCCCACCCCTTTCACCCTTTCACCCTTTCGCCCTTTCACCGTCTGAAAATTGTCTGAAGGGCTGAAATCATGGGTACCCCCGAATCGGGCAACGAAGCTAGTCCCGTCTGATAAGTTGATACAAGACTCCCCAGACGCTTACGGGTAAGGTACAAACCTGGAAGTTAGGTACCTTAATAAGGCATGTACCTGTACTGTAAGGTACCTTAGCGAGAACCCCTCGGCTCGTTAAGGTAGTCCAGGGCTCATATCATAGCATAGCCGCCCACCCCCCAGTCAAGTCATATACGAAGTAAATTACACTAAGAAATTGGCTTGCTCAGCCACGCCGCCTTGCAGTCTACCTAGAACTTGGAAATAATACAGCGTATTCATATGAGACACAACTCTGTGGGCTTAATCATAAAATTGTGCGCCGAGTAATTCGTCGAAAAACATGTTATTCGTCGCTCAGTTCCATGGTTTGGGTATTGACATTCCATCCACGTGACAACTGCGCGGCACCCGCCCGCTGACCTACCGTACCTACTTCCCAATATCGCGTACTAGCCAACCAACCAAAAGAAAAACAAAAAAAAAAAAAAAAAAAAAAAAAAAAAAAAAAAAAAAAACACCAAGCCGTCATTTCTCCGTGTGTCCGTCATTCAGCCTCAACTCCAGGACAATCTGCGTCCCCGCAATTTCCGGGTGGCTCATCGAAATCTTGACCGTCCCCTTGGACTCCTCCCCGATCTGGCCCGTGCCCTGGTACTGCCCCCCGACCCAGTTGTTCGCCGCCGACGACGTGCCGCCCGTGGGGCCGCGGACCCCGTAGTCGAGGCACCGGACGTCCCGCCCCGCGATGATCTGCCTTAGTCGCCCGTTCTCCGCGTTGCGCACCTCCACGTAGTCCTCGTTGAAGAGCAGGAGGTACTGCCCGTACATCGTCGCCGCCCGCGCCTTCTTCTGCTTCCCCGAGTACTCCATGATGAGCGTCCGGCTGACGTCGCCGTGCTTGTCCACGTACACCGCGCAGTCCTCGTACGCCAGCAGGAACTCCTGGTCGTTGAGCCGGAACATCCCCAGCGGCCTCTGGTCCCGGATCCGGTTCGCAATGTTGGCGATCGCCGGTTCTCGGACGTCCGGGATCGACATGGTCTGCTTCTTGTCCAACGTCAACAACTCGAACCCCCGCGCCGTCGACACCGCAATGTACGACTGGAACAGGTTGAGCGAGTAGCACTCCGTCGGCAGGTAAAACTCGTCGTAGTCCCGGAAGTACTCCGTCACGCCCCCGCCCGTCTTGCGGCTCCCAAACAGCCCGCGCTTCTTCTCCGACGACTTCTGGAAAACCGGCTCCAGCACCCGGAACGTGTTGTGCATGCCCTCCCTGCGTTTGTAGAACAGCAGCATCCGGTCCTTCATCTTCGCCGTCGCAAAGAATGCCACGTCCTTTCCGAGTCTCTGCGGCGCCCTCCTCGGGCTGTCGTGGATCGGTGCCGGGAAACTCGATACCGGCGCTACCACATCGAGTGGGTACCCGATCAGGGACCGGTCTGCAATGATCAGGCAGACCGAAAACTCTTCAATCACCGTGATCTGCGTCACTTTGTTCACTTGTACCGTCTGAAGGGAAGGGAGAAAACAAGCCCCGTTAGCCAGCGTTCCTTTTTTTTTTTTTTTTGCCTTGAACCGGCGCATATGCAAAAAAAAGCCAAAGGAGACTTACCCTAGTCCAGCCACGAGGGTCCGTACTATCCGAGATATAGACGCCATAATCCGTCCCAATGGCTATGACCGACTTGCCATAGGCCGAGAATCCCGTCGCGCAGTTGACTTGCGCCCTGCACACAGGCGCCGGCCCGCGCCCCGGGCCGTACACGCTCTCCAGCTCGCGAATCGCCCGGTCCAACGGCGTGCCCCGGACAGGCACGCCGAGCTGCTTGGTCAACGCCGTGGCCGAGTCGTAGGCAAACGCGCTGTCCGCCAGCACACGAAGCCGGAACGGTTCCGCGTTCTGCGAGAACAGCGCCTTGGCGTGTCTCGTCTTGGCCTCAATCATCTTCCGCACCCAGTCGCCCCGCTTCTCTGCCGACGACGCAAAAAGGGTATACGTCTCGTGCCCAAGATGCTTGACTCGGAACGGGTATAGGATCTTGTCCTTGTCGTTGGACATCGTCGGCGTCAACCTATTCATGCTTACCGATCCAATCGATGAGCCCGTCGTCGCGTGCTCGAGGGACGGACGCTCATTCCCGTTCGTCATCTTGTTCAGCCGCGTGTCGGAGAGTGCGGGCGGCGCATTCCGCGCCAGGGGCGCTTTCTGCTTGGAGATTGGGTCGTCATTGATGCTGTCGAGGAACAAAAGAGGCATCGGGATAGGCTGAAGAAGAAAAATTGTCAGCAATAGAATTCACAGAAAGCCAAAACAGGTGAAGCGAAGGGAGTCAAGGCGAGTCAGGGGGAAACGGACCTCCTTGGAGACGTCAAACTTTTTGCCGCCCTTTCCATCTTTCGTGCTCACCGGCTTGGCCAGAATAAGGTAATGGTCAAAGAGGAGAGCGTGCGTATCGACCCAGCGGACGCCCTTCGATCCCATCCTCTGCAGCTCGCCCTGCAGGATGAGTTCCCGGCCGAGATGATCCAGGTTGAGCACCGAGTGGAACCCCGGCCGGAGAACAAGCATCGCGTTCAGCTCCATCATCTCCACCTTCTTTTGCATCTCGGCCACCTTCTGGTCGCACTCCAGCGTCACGTTGTGGATTTCCGAGATGGCCCTGACCAGATTGGCCTTCTCTTCGTTGTCTTGCACCATGTTCTTCTCCACCGTCTGCAGCAGGAACGTGTACCGTTGCAGCCGCGTAATGGGCGCCTTCAAAAAGTGCGTCCAGTCGAGCCTGGTCGACCGCTTGTGGTTGCGCACCCGGTCGAGAAATTCCTGGAAGATGATGTTGCGATCCGCCTCCTTGCGTACCAGGTAGGACGCGTGCGGATACTGGGAGGCGTAGTCGATGTAAACATCCCTGGCCTTCCGGATCCACTCCCGGAACAGGTCGCTGAACCCGGTAATAAACGGGCCCTGCTCCTGTTGCCTGTACTTGAGCTGCGCCAGGAGGTGCTCCTTGTTCGTCGCCTGTACCGCATCGACCTTGCCGAAGACGACGGCAATGAACTTCTCGACCCTGTTCGGGGCGATGATGGGACTCGGTGCATTCCGGATCTGGTCCCGGTACAGGACCCGGAGAACCTCGAGCTGGTTCATATAACCCTCTTCGCTCGTCACGATTTCGTGCAGCACGTTCTGTCGCTCAATCTCCTTCTTGGACCTGCCCTCCACGCTTTCCTTGGTCAGCTTATAGAATGTCGCCCAGTCTTCGGCCTTGACCTCCTCCAGCATAAGCTCGTCCAGATTGGCCTTCTTGAGCGTCCTCATGCAGTGAACGGAGTAACACCGTCCCGGCCCGTCTGGCTGGTGCAGCTTGGGCGCGTAGCAGCCCGAACCGGTCAGCTGCCACAAGACGCCTGTGATGGACCCTGGGCCGAACTTCACCCACTCCTCTTCGGGGAGGAGGATCCGGGCCTCCAGCATGATGTCCACAACGCGCGTGCTCAGAACCTCCGCGTCGGCGACGTTGAGTGTCGGGACTCGGTCCGTGAACAGATTGACGAGCGCCTCTTCGACTGTTTTCTGTTTGAGATCCGGCTCACCGTCCGCCATTTCTCGTATCCACGCCGCGATCCCGCTGAGCGCCCACGGCTCGGTACATTTCCTGAAGTCAGCCGAGGTAAGCTTCGAGGGAACGAATTTCCTCCGCCGCCCACTAGGTAGCGTGATCATGTCGTAGGCCATGGACGACTGGGCGTCCGTATCGTATCCGTCGTATGGAGATGCGTGGGATGTTGCGAGGTGGTGGTGGTGGTGGTGGTGGTGGTGGTGGTGCTGCTGCTGCCTGTACATCTTTCTCCTCTCCTCGGCGGCGTCAGTCCGCGAGCGCGCGGGCGCTTGGACCTGGGGTGTATTGCTGTGGCTTGACAGGGAGATAGATCGCTCGGGCGGCACAGAACCAGATCCAGCAGAGGTGTAATAACCTTCTGGGGCTTCGGGAGAGTACACATGTCGCGAATCTACGCTCAGGGACTGCCCGTGGGAATACGGCCGTGAAGGCTGCCCCGGGGTCTGCACAGAGAGCATGGAGTTGCTGTCGCTTCTAGGCGCCTGTGGGAAGTGGGGAAGGGGCCGAATGGACATGCCGGGATGATAGAAAATGTCGGGATAGTCTTCTTTCTGCGGAGACTCGCTGCCGCTCTGCAGAGAATGGATCGACACTCGCTCCTCTCCCTCGTCGAAGCTGAGACGATGCGCCGTCGGGGGTTGCAAGCCGCCGGTACCGCCGTAGTCCACCTCGGCGTCTCGGAAGGCCGGCGCAGCTTCGTAGCTCTCGTGGGAGGTGGAAGGGTAATAGCCGGGTCGCGAGGGTAGAGGCCTCGATGCGTTCTCGGTCTGGTGCATGGGCGGTGAGCCTACGTCGGTACCGTAGGCGAGAGTGCCCGAGGGCGCCTCGTAGCCTCCGCTGAACAGTCCAAGATCCGTCCCGCCGTAATCGGTATCACTGCTTTGTTCTTCGGGAGGAGGAGGCAGCGTACGCGCAGCAGCCAAGTCGGTGTACGAGAGCGTCGCCGTGCTACTGAACCGCCGATCGTCCATCTCCGCCTGTTGCATGGCCAGCACGCCTGCTGTCCCTTCTGGATCATCATCCTCCTCCTCCTCATAATAGAACGTCGATATCGACGAGGTATGGGTCCTCTGGGCATTTGTCGATGCGTTGGACGAGTACCGGCTCACGTTAGAAGAATCCAGCGTGGTCGTCGTGTACCGCTGGAGTTGCTGTAGCTCATCGTCGGAAGCCTGGGCGCCGTTGACCGAAGTTGACCGGTTTCGAGCAATCCGAGCGGCAAGCTCCGCCTCGATATCTTGAATAATGTCATCCTGGATTCTCGCATGATCATGCTCGTGGCGCACATAGTCGGTGTCCCAGCCGGGCTCTTCCGGCACGTTGTCCATGGGGCGGCTTGGGAGAGGGGCGTTTGTGGGGTGCCGCTGAAGACCCGGCGAATGCAGGTGGATGGATGAGGCCTGCGAGTTCAGCGAGTTTGATCTTGATGCTCGGATGTAAATGGACGACGAAGAGTCGGCCAAGTACTGCGGACCGATAGGCATGTGCGATTGCATCGGATAGGGTGCGCTGGACGTTGCCGTCGTATAGGGTACGGGAGCGGGAACCGGGCTGCTGGCACCGCCATTGGGGTAGGTGGCGTACGTGTTACCGTAGGATTGTTGGTGAGACGGGTCGTAGGAAGAAGGATGCGAACCGGTCGAGACGTGGCCGGGGCTCGGAAGGGCCGGGTCGTGATGAACAGGCACTTGGGCAGATTGAGGGAAGGCAGAAGCATAAGGTGAATTCGGCGATGGACTGAAACCCGGGGACGGCTGCGGAGCAGACGGGGAGGCATAGCCGTGGCCGTAGTTGTATCCATGGAGAGTCGACTGACGCTGTGGTTGAGAGGCAGCCGCATAGGCGGCCGGGTTGTACTGGGCAGGTGTGTAAGTGGTCGGCGACGTTGGCGCATGAGAGGCGGTCGAGCTGGTCGAGCTGTACCGCTGTGGAGGCGGCGGATGGTACGGCAAGGACGTCGATTGGGGCCGCGTAAAATGCTGTGGATTGTATGTGGCATGGGTCGGGGTAGGCGGCGCCTGGCCCTGGGCTTGGGCCTGGGCTTGGGCCTGGTATTGGTGTTGATGGCCAGAAAGGGCGCTGTTGGTCGAGCCGGAATAGGTCGGGCGGTGGACTGACGATGAGGTCGGACTGGTCAGAAAGAGTTCGTCCTCAGTCCCGGCTGATGTGTCGGTGTTCGGATAGGTGTGGGCATGCGCCGAGTTCTGGTCGAAGAAAGATGCATCGTCGCCACTGTTAAAGCTAGGCCGTCTAGCGGGATAGGACGATTCATTTTGTGGCTGCGAAACGGGGTATTGCACGGGAGGGACATGGCCGTACCGGCGCTGATCGTCACTTCGGAATGACATGTCGGACGTCGGTCGCACGAAACGACGAGGCCAGCCGGGGGAGAGACTCGAATTGCCAATAGCAGAAATTGTGGTCGGGTATTCCTGTCGCAGTCGCGGTTATAATCGTCGTAATCGTCGTGGTCGTCGTAGTCGTCGTAGTCGTCACACTCGTCACGGTAGTGACAGTAGTCGTCGCAGTATCGGGAGTTGGCCGCTGCGTCAAGCCTCCGACAAAAAATGGGAAGCCGCAAATGACACTGGACTGTACCAACTGGAACCTCAATATATCCACATGTGCCTTTCGCAGAGAGTGCTAGGCGTTGTGTTGACGATAAAAGGAAAATGGTATCAAGTTGCAGCAAGGAAGAGAGAAGAAGAAGAAAAAGGTAAGTAAGCAGATGAGGATGGTTGAGGAGAAGAGAAAAGGAAGGTGTTTGTTGCGACGATTGACGTCCGACTCTGCCAAGTCTTGGGCAGGAGCCGTCGTTGGCCTCGTCGATCGCTGATGTGGGTGGGCTCCTCGAGGAACCTTTTGGTCTTTGGTCTTTGGTCTTTGGTAAGCTTGCTAAAAAGCTAGCGTAGGTGGTAAGCAGTGCTTTTCGTGCATGGAGAATGGTCGGTGTCGCCCAGCAGAGGCCGTTTCACGGCGCTTTGATCGCATAAGCAAGACGATTAATCGGGAAGACGAAAGGCCTCTCCCAGAAACGGCTTCCTCGTGTCACAGTAGTTTGTTGGTAGTAGATTCGCTCCAAGACGAAACGGTGCGAAGCGACAAAAGGAGAGGACCCTAGATAAGACGAACGCAACGGGATGCAATGCAAAAAAGAAGAAACCCGAAACCGCCGAATGGGAGACTCTTGGGGACAGCAGCCCAGCTGTCAAATATTCCCCAGGTTGGAAAAGCGTTGGTGCGTGGTGCGTGGTGCGGGTTCAGGGTGCTGCGGGCGATGGGGCGGCGGGGCGGCGGGTGGCGGGCGGTTTTGTACTGGGGAAGTCCAAGCCACAGGCAACTGACTGACTGGGGAAGAGGGCGCCGGGTAGGACTGGATGCGACTGGACAGGACTGGATAGGACTGGGTAAGGGGTAGGACTGTCGCTTGTTATCTGTACGCGTACTCGTCTCTTGGTTCGGACCAGGAACAGGGGGCTGGGCGGGCTGGGCGGGCTGGTGGTTCGCACAGCTACTTGGAGTAGATCCTTGGTGCGTGGGAACCTCGAATCCGTGTTTTGGGTCGGGTCAGTGAGACGGAAGGGAAGAAAGAAAATCGTCCAGTATGAAGAAGTATCAGATGGAGCTTTGTCGAAGCTGATTATTATTAGTGTAAGACGAAGAGACATTTGCCTCAGAGAGACGTGAGGCAAAGTGACCGAAGAGCCGAGTCGTTGTCGATGTACGGAGTATGTAAGGTACCTCACCTTATGTACCTTAAGATACCTACCTACCCGGGTAGGGGGGGGTCTGGACAGTGTGCTGGTTAGACTATTGACAGAATGACCAGCGTGGTCAGTTACGCATTTCAATATATTAATACTATTATGTCTAAGATTTAGCCTATCTAGGCACCTTACTATTTTAGTTAGTTACTATGTAGTAGTGTTCCTCCTGTCACGGTAGTTAGTATAAGAACGAGAAAACGGTGACTAGAGTAGGCTAGCGTGATAGACTAGTTAGTCTGTTAGATCCTAGATAGTATATCACGTCGAATAGTATATCCCAGCGTGATCATCATGTCTACACTATTATTCTACTAATTTTAATATCGTGAACGAAATATGACTCTAACGACTAATTACTAGACTGTCCGCCATAACAGCCTAGCTATAACACTTATCCTAACCAGCCAACTATAATAACTAGCGATAGTTATACTGACCTGATTGATAGGATGTTATAAAGGCATAATGACTAATTGTTTATACTATTAAGATTCCCTATACCAGGTAGCACTATAGCGATAGGTACTTAGGTACTTTAATATAATAGAACACGGCAGGTATTTAATTAATGAATTTCGAATCTCGAACTGAATATATAACTGTATTATCGACTATATCGCGACTATATCGCGACTCGATGATCCTCTTAATTAATAATCCTCACTGTCGTATCTCTGTTACCTGTTATCCCTAAGGTTAGGTGGTTAGTGAAAGTTGCACCGGTCGGGTCTAGATACTATGCTATATTCGTTAAAATGACTTAAACCATAACCTACTTCCTAGTCTAAGTTAGTAAAGCCGTGATTTCCGATATCTTCTGGGTTATATAAGGTACCTACCTTACCTTAGTCGAGGCATTCTTCGCTATACCTAGACTACCTGAAGGTAATAGGAAGTGGAGCGTTATATAGGTATAGAGAGGAATCTAGCATAGCAGAAGATTGGAGTCATAGGTAGGATACTACTTATCTACATTATAGTGGTACCTAGATATAACTCTAAAGTATTAGTTAATATGATATTAAAGAAATATCTGGGAAAAGTCTAGGTAACTTATAGTTCTGCTATCCGCTAGGCCTTGATATGGAATAGTAGTAAGTATTATAAACTGCTAAAGGATGTATATTTAAGTCAGTAAGCATAAGCAGTAATAGGGAATTAGCTTTCACACTATCTTCTATCGGGCAGAATTATATAGTGAAACTTTTAGGTTGGATATTATCGAGCGCGGGTGTGGAGAGTAGAAATTAATCGGCTTACTAAAAAGCTAGAGTAACGTAAAGGAGTATCCAGGTAGTAAGGACTAATAGTATACCGCACCGCGCTTAACGCTTCGACTATTATTTTTTTACTGGTTAGCGAGTGAATTAAAGCTATCGCTAGTTAAATTCTGTTATATATTTTATATATATTATGACTAAGGTAGGTTTTAAAGGACGCTAGTAAGACACTATTAGCAGACTAGAAGCCCGCTAACGTACTCGAGCGGCGTACTACCTTATCCTCCTTTAGTGCCTATACGCAGTGGTAGAGCTCTAGCTATCTATAATAAGCTAGCAGGACACTATTAGCAGGCTAGAAGCCTACTAAAGCACTCGAGCGGTAGTCGGTGGTAAAAGCTTAGAAGCTATCCATAACGAAGCTAGTAAAACACTATTAGTAGACTAGAAGTCTACTAACGCACTTTAGCGGTAGCCGGTAGTAAAAGTTTAGAAGCCAGTAAGATAATATTAGAGGGTGGCTAGCACACTAACGCGCTTAAGCAGTAACCTTATTTCCCTACGGCGTTTATTAGGAGAACCGTTACGTGAAAATTTGGCACTAGGCTAGAAAATAATAGTATAATTCGTATAATAGATAGATAGTCTGGAGATAATAGATAGATAGTCTAGAGTAGTCTAAAGTATAATAAAAAGATAGTATAGTGCGTGTGGTGGAGAGATTAGAGTGGTTATTTTCACTAGGAGATTACCTAGGTAAATTATAAGGATAGGAGTATAAAGGATAATTAGGCGGGGGAAGAAAGCTAAAATTCTATTCGGATAGGTGACGTTATGACTAAGCGTGATCGCGTCTACCTAGGTACCCTCGGGGTATCTAAGCTTTAATTTCACGGATATAATGATAATCCGATACCTAGTAAAAAAGAAAGGAAAATATCTCCTAATATTTCTGTAAATTTACAGTATAAGATACTTAATATAAGGTAGTATTCACGATTTACGAGTTATATCACGAGTTATAAATTGCCGAAATACTAAGGGAGCTTTTAATAATTAAAATAGTTCTATTCTTAGACGATATATATATTATAAGGGTAATAAAGAAAGGATTTATCTACTCTCTATATAACCTATTCCCTATCTTCCCGTAATAACGGTAAACCGACGATAATCCTATCCTCGGTTAGGGAATATATCGGGTATTTTAGGATTAAATCTTCGGTTACGGGGCCTATCGTGATCGTAATAATAAGGAATACTCGGAAAGTGGCGGTGAATCTATATACGAAGATACTATTAATCTGTACTAGCTGCTTACCTCGGACACGAACGAAATTATTAACTGAGAAGCAGTAAACCTACCGGTCCTTAGTTATAAAGCTGATTTTAGAGAACTATCTTAGGGCGTCACGACTTCTATATATAAGATTTCTAAGGTTATAATCTTCCTCGTATACTCGAGATAATAGTATATTAAACTCGCTAGAGTCTAGTTATTAGTTCGGGAAAAGTATCGATAGGAGGTAACACGTCTAGCTTCGGACTTTCCTTTACTATATAGTCCTAAAGCATCGAGGCTTAAGGTATAATAGATCTACCACGATATTAAATATAGGTATATCGTTTTCTTCTTTATTAGGGGCGCCGATCTATATCTTATTATCGATCCTGGAAGTAAGTATAGTATAGTTAGTTCGGAAACACATAAACGTAGAGTGCACTTTCGGATAGTTAAACTCGAAGGAACCGGATAGGCTAAGAAGGGTAGTCTTCCTTAAACGCTCACGATATATCAGAACCGAGGCAGTGTTCTTATAGTTTATTGTCGTGATATCGTTCTTATACTCTTTATGTTTATCTTCTCTAAGGAAGGTAAAAACTCGACGGCACGAGCTATACTGCTTTTGCATATCCTAGAGGTATAACCCGATATAAATATTCGGAAGACCTTTTATTCTTTAGTAGGTAACTGCCTTAGCCGATACTAGGAGTCTTTGGATATCTATTACCGAGTCCTTTAGAATAGTAAAATTAAAGATTCTAGTTACTCCGCTAGCTTATGATATAATATCGGGTATTCTAGTTCGTAAACTTATACTATCTATAATATTACGATATTAATATTTAAGCTAAACACGTATATATATTTATAAGGATACCGTATATACTTATTATCCACGCCTTAGACACTCACTATACTATAACGGAGACCCGAGTTATTTATAGACTAAAGGGCAGATTATATAAGGCTTTAGGTCTTTCGTGGCGCCTGTCGCTATAAAGGGCGACTATATATATATCGTGCTGCCGACTAGAAGATTAACTAAATCGATTTTCGGCCCTTCGTAATAATACTCG